TAAAATGGATTTCCTTAATTTTATTATTAATAGTGTATTCGAAGGGAGTTAACCAGGCTCTTTTCCAATTAATATAAACTATAATATAGAGTTATTATTATTGGCAAAGTTTTACATACACAAACAGAAATTTGCTAAATCATCTCCCACATTAACAGATTTTTATATCGAGTTTGACTTTTTTATTTCTACTGTAAAATTGTTGAGAAGCAAAAAATCTGAGATATGCATCAATTATTATGACAATTTTTTTGATTCACCAGTCAATTCTTTAAATCATTGAATGTAGAAACGCTGTACACTATCCTTCGTTTAACTCTAATTTATTTTATTTACTTTTATTTTTGTTGCTTATTACCATTGTTGTATTAGTTTTTTTTTTGTGTGTGTGTGTTTTATATTTTGTATTGTGTTGTATGTTTGTTCCTTAAGGTTATGCAATAATAAATAAAAAAAAAATTATAAAAAAGCCCATCTAGTCTCTACTCTCCGAGGTGTTGTGTATTATATTATGTTAAAACATTACATCCAGATGCACAATAAATAGGTTCTTATTAACATATTACTTTGCGTGATGACATCATTGCTTAATCTCAACTCAAAACTATCTTTATCTAGTATAAAAATAATGAATGTTTTCTCAAATTGACTGGCCATCTAAGCAAAAACATTATTTGAAATATGTCCATTTAGATTTGTATGAAAAATATACTTGGCTATTTGTAAAAGTAATACAAACACTTAAGACTGATAATGAACTGTTACATACTTTTAAACAATCACAGCTTGTGTACTTACTTTTTTAAAATTGTGAAAATAACACATTAGTGAAAGTGACAACAAGTATAGCCCTATTGGAATGTATTGCTTCCTAAATTACCAACAATTACACATGTTAACAAATATCAGTAAGTTACAGTTTTTTTCAGTGGCTTTGATGCATTTCTCACAACACTATTTACATTTGCACAACATTTAATGCATTTCTCTAAATAATTAGTACAGACTGCAAAACCTAGTTGATAACCTGCTAAAGTGTGTCAAAATGGAGAGCTCATTCCTCAAAAGCAAGTGTTCATGTTAATGAAAGTGTCAGTGTTTTCAAGATGAAGAGTCCTGACCCCATTGTTTATGAACAAGATAGTCAAATGTCTTTGGCACGTTTTTATTATGAGTTTACTCTGTACATGTTTTCCAATGAAAAAAAGTCAGATTTTGGGGACATGTCCCCGAAAATGCTCAAGACACCACTATTTACTATTTGCACAGCCATTTTAAAAAATAAAATAGTTAGACATCACTGCATTTAGTGAGGTATCTGAGTACAAGACACTGAATATATATGTTTCACATGTTTACTGCATTTGCACTTTACAATTCTAATTTATTCACAGAATGGTGCAAAATAATAAATACATTCTTATTTACAACAAACATAAACTTTCTTTGGGTAGAGCTGTGCACAACTGTAAACAATTTTGGAGTACATATTAGAAATGAATCTACAACATACACAGGTCTGTAAATCATTCAAGAAATTGTTCAATTTAGAAGACATTTTTAGGGGGGAAAAAAAAGATGTAATTTTTTTTTTATAAAATGTGCTTGACAAATTTTGACAATTAGTTCAACATTTTTGTATGTAATGACTCCAGTAATGAAATGAGGACTATTAGTTTTATATGCAATAACTATTTAGCATTCACAGGTTTAGTTTTAATTTTGACTGACATGACATAAGCAAATGGTAATGTTTTAAAACTGCAGAGAGTTGTACGAAAGCAATTAATGAATGTCCAAAAGCATTTGCAATTTGTAGGAAGGAATGAGAAACTGCTACTATAATGTGCACAAATGACTAATTGTTTTGAGAAATGCATTACTGTTTGTGCAAATGTAAATAGTGTTGTGAGAAATGCACCAAAGCGACTGAGAAAAACTGTAACAGGTATGAAAAACAATCTGAGCTAGCAATTTACTCTACTGATTGTAGCCTGCAGCCACTGCTCTTTTAAGTCACTTTTTAAAATTTGCTAAAAGTAGCCAAATGAATGTTACAAATTGCTAAATTTGTTGCTTGGTGCTTTTTGAAAAAAAAAAAAAAAGTTGCTAGGATAGTTTGAAAAGTTGCTAAATCTAGCAACAAAATTGCTAAGTTGGCAACACAACAGCTCCCCCTTGTGGAACATCTCCCCTTAACCCTTGTATGCGCAAACTGTAAAATAGATATAGAAAAAATAAACTTAGACAGGTCACTTTAGACCAGGGGTCACCAAACTTGTTCCTGGAGGGCCGGTGTCCTGCAGAATTTTGCTTCAACACTAATCAAACACACCTGAACAAGCTAATCAAGGTCTTACTAGGTATACTTGAAACATCCAGGCAGGTCTGTTAAGGCAAGTTGGAGCTAAATCCTGCAGGGACACCGGCCCTCCAGGACAGAGATTGGTGACCCCTGCTTTAGACCCATGGAGTGCATCAAAGGGTTAATTAAGAATAACACCTGTACTTTCGTAGAGTTATACAGTAAATAGACAGAAAACCAAAACTTTTAGTTAATTAGTCCTGAGATATTAATACTTTATGCTTTTACCAAACAATGTCTTGTTAATCCAATGAATACCATAAAGATATTAGAACAGTCTAGCTTAGGCCCAATTAAAATTCTGTTTGTGTACCCCTACCCCTTGGCCCTTACAACCGAGGGTTGAGAGGAAGGGCTTAAGAATTTACCCATAAGAATTGGGACAGCACTACAGCACCTGCACACGTCAACATATGTCATCACGGTCTCCAGCTTCATTTGAGATCATGCTCTAGTTATTCCAGCTGTGCTAGTTTTTGGTATTTATCTTCAGGAAATCACTGAAGGCATTTATCATGTTATCATAACGATCTAATGTGGCAATAAAATCGTAACAGTACTGTGTATTTACACCGTGGCCATGTGTAAACACATGAAAACAACACTAAGCAGGCAGTCACTGTAAAAAGCTTATTTCCAGCCACTAGACTTTTCTGACAGGGCATTCAAGTGTCATTGAGTGACAGAATGCTGTGGGACTGCTATACAGGAGTTTTAAAGCATGTCAATAAAACACGAACACGGTTAGGAATATATTAAAACGTGTTTGTTTGTCGTAAAAATTCGTAATAATGACAAAAAATACTAATTTGTGGATCTCCTTACTTCCGGGTTCAGCAATACTGCCACTGTAGCAGGTGTACTCTGGGAAATTTTCTTACACCTTGATTTCGAGTGTGGTCCTGAAAAATCTTAGTTCGAAGGGCTATTCACCCCTACTCCTTAGCTCTACGCCGTCAAGCTAAAGAGAATTGGGACGTCCTACCCCTTGTGAACGCACAAAATTAGGTGTAGGGGTAAAGACTAAGGGGTAGAATTAGGATTGGGCCTTAACCTTACACCTATCTTGATTCAATCCTGCTATTTTAGTCAAATTTACATCACATAGTCCTTCAGCCACATCGGCTTTCTTCTGAAACGCTGCTTTAATGGACTTACAACATTTTCTGTTGTTGAGGCAGAACTTGGTTGTTCTGCAGACCTGAGTCCTGTATGTAATGGTACCAGGTGAGACAAGTCCAGGTCCGTCCATCATTTAGTTCATAGCTATGCTTTCCTTGTCTTCTGATAATCTGCATAGGTCCACTGAATTTTGAGGTTCCTTTCATGACACAAACCGGCTTTCTCACACATACACAGTCCCCTTCTCATAGCTTTGGAATTTCTTCTTTCCGCTTTGTATCCACGTACGCTTTCATTTTCAGTTGTTTCTTCTTTACTGTGGTTCTCATTTTCCTTGTAGCGGGGGTTTTGTTGCATGGTGTGAGAATTGACAACTTTGTTCTCATTATTCTTCCAAACAGGAGCTTAAAAGGAGACATTCCTGTAGTGGCATGAGGTGTAGCTCTGTACATTTGCAAGAATTCCACTACAAAGGAAGTCCATGGCACTCCTCTTTGTGCAGTCAGAATAGCATCTTTCAGCACTTTATTCCAACGCTCCACTGCTCCATTTCCTTCAGGATAATATATGGAGAAATGTCATCAAGCTTGTTCACATAAATATAAATGAGAGAGGGACAGACAGAAAAGAGAAAAGGTAAAGGAAATAGTTTGACCCCTTAATAGTTAAACCCTAAATATTTTAACTTGTTGGACTCTACAGGCTTACACACACACACACACACACATACACAGATACAGATAGACAATCACCACCTAGCCCCTCATCCCACACCTTTGTGTGCTTTCACCCACTGGAGGGGGAAAGTGGGTCTGTGACCAGCGCCCCCTGGCTGCAGGACCAGATGGCTGCCCGCCCTCATCGGACTATATCCACATTCCCAGTTGCGATGTCATGTCTTGTCTGTTAATGTGCTTGACTGCTGGGGCTTTTTTTTCTCCCTGTTCTCACCCTGCCCTAATTCAAGAGCAAGGCGAGAAGGAGTTTTTTGCCTCTCTCTCCTGAAATGTATCTTACTTCCTTTTTCTAAATGCTACCTACTGTGACCGGTCTTCCCCTGAAAAATGTGATGTTTGTGTATGGTCGGGGTGGGGGGGGATCTATTTTACTATACGAAAGTGTATGTGACAAATAAAGGCCTGATTTGATTTTGATTTGATGCACAAGCTATAAAATAGAAAAAATAAACTTTGACGGGTCACTTTAGACCAGGGGTCACCAAACTTGTTCCTGGAGGTCGGGTGTCCTGCAGATTTTAGCTCCAACCCTTATCAAACACACCTAAACAAGCTAATCAAGGTCTTACTAGGTATGCTTGAAATATCCAGGCAGGTTTGTTGAGGCAAGTAGGAGCTAAACCCTGCAGGGACCCCGACCCTCTAGTACCGAGACTAGTGACCCCTGCTTTAGACCCATGTAGTGCATCAAAGTGTTAAAGATCCAATTCCAAAACTCCTCATTGAGAAAATAAGAAAAAGGACAGAGAAAAAATTTAACCAAAACATGCAACATGAAAATAACAAATATCACGTTTTGATTATTTGTAATGAAGACAACAATATTCAAAAAGTATACATTTATTCTGATTTAATGGTGAATTTGTTATACAGTTGAAGTCAGAATTATTAGCCCCCCTGAATTATTAGCACCCTGTTTATTTTTTCCCCAATTTCTGTTTAACAGAGAGTATTTTTAACACATTTCTAATCATAATAGTTTTAATAATGTATTTCTAATAACTGATTTATTTTATCTTTGCCATGATGACAGTAAATAATATTTTACTAGATATTTTTCAAGACACTTCTATACAGCTTAAAGTGACATTTAAAGGCTTAGCTAGGTTAATTAGGTTAACTAAGCAGGTCAGGGTAATTAGGCGAGTTATTGTATAGCAATGGTTTGTTTTCTAGACTATCAAAAAAATAGCTTAAAGGGGCTAATAATTTTGACCTTAAAATTATTTTTAAAAAGTTAAAAACTGCTTTTATTCATGCAAAAATAAACTAAATAAGACTTTCTCCAGAAGAAAAAATATTGTCAGACATACTGTAAAAATTTCCTTGCTCTATTAAACATCATTTGGGAAATATTTGAAAAAGAAAAAAAAAGCAAAGGGGGCGAATAATTCTGACTTCAACTGTATATCTTCAGTAACAAAAGAATGTTTGTTGCACAGACACATTTCAAGATAAAAGGTTCAAATGTCTAGCCAACACATACATTTTCCTTGTAAGGAACAAAAAGAATAAACCATTTAAGCATATACAGAAAATGTTAATAAAAAATGAAATGAATGTAAGCAGCCATTTTTAAAATACTCTTGTTCTGACTTGCTAGTGATACTTGGAACACTATCTCATACTTGTTCAGACAAATATGAGCAATACAGTTATTATGAATAATTATGTTAGACCACCATTAGAATTTAATGCATATAAAAAAAAAGTCAAATACAGTATAAAAAATGCATATAAAGCTGCTTTTATATTCTCATGTGACTAAGTAACATTAGTAAAATATATATTTCCTCCAACAAATTAATTTTGACTTAAATAATCTGAATATTCATCCTCATCTTCAGAGTTTTGGGACTGTACATCAGAAATCCAGGTAGGTCCCATTACAGCAGTTTCTACTGGGCTCTGAGGATATGATCCCAGCTCATCTTTAGTCCTGCAGGTTTTATCAGGATCAACTTTGTGTTTCTCTGCTAAAAATCCTCCTAGCCTCACAGAAAACAGGTTTACATCTGTACTGTTTTCACTGTCCTGCTTTTCCAAAGCAAGGGGGACAACAGAACATAAGTTCGGAAGTTGAGTTGTTCCTTGAGCAAGGTGTTCACACCTAGGAGAGGCTGTTGGTTCAGCTGGCTCAGTATGGACATGACTGCCTTCGTACATAATCAAACCATTATTCTGAGCATTCATGGAAGAGGTGGGGCACAGCTGTTTATCTGGACTTTGATTCATAAGCAAACAAGAACTAGATGACACTGGAAAAATAGCGAGAGAGGAACCCTGAAAATCCTGATACAGGTCCACAAGTTTTTCATATTTCAGTTCCTCCTCTGCCTCTCCCTCAATCTCTTTTTCCAGTCTGCCTTTCTCCTCATAGAGGGCACTGATGGGTTCACCAGTAGGGATAAAAATAACATTGTTTATACCCTTATACGAGCCCTGAAACAAAAATTAGGAAAGTTTGTTAAATCATAACTGTGGCAATTTACATAATTTTAGTCATAAGAAACAACAGCAGAGCAGAGGATGTGGATGCAAGTTGTTTTTTTACAGCGCACGAAAGAAAGAAAACTTGAAATAATAAACTTCTGAGGTTACGTTTTTGCAATACTGTGCAATCATGTAATCCATCAGCAAGTAGGGCTGCCCCCGACTAAAGATATTTCTAGTCGACTAACACTTCTGCATTTTAGCGATTAATCAAATAATCGTTAATTTATGATATTAATATAATAACTTGCGTATATACTAGGAATATAGTCCAAGTTGAAGCTTAACACCTCCACGTGACAGAAAATGCTAAAGCATGATATTAGCGCATTCAAAACGAAAATTAAGCGCTTAAAACGGAATAGTAAAGCGTTTAAAGTATACAGTGCTTACACACAAAAATCAGTGGCCGTAATGTTATAACGTTAGGCTAATTATGACATAAAAACAGCAATCAGACTGCCTGTGCATTTTAATAATTTATTATCAAAAATACAAACTGTAACAGTTACATGTCAAACAAATACAAAACAAACAAAAAAAAAACAGTTTTTAATAAACTAATAAACTAAAATTTGTTCTTTAAAATAAATCAAATAAACTTATTAGCAACTTAGGCCTAGTACAAAACTAGGCAAAAAAAAAAACTAATAAATACTGTAGCAAAAACGCTGTTTGGTATAAAAATACAGTGGAAAATTATATATTTATTTATTATTTATTATATATAAATTTATATAATTTTTATATTGTTCAAAAGGAAAATTAACAAAAACGAACAACTTAATAAATGCACATCGCACAACGCCAAAACTTAGAATAAAAAAAGAAGGCGGCAAACAAATTAACAGCCTAATTATGATTAAATTGTTTAGAACAACTATATTTAAGACACATTGTGGAACAAATAATTTAAAGAACACTAACACAAATCAAAAATATCAGAGCAAAGCCACAAACTGCCATTAAGACGACGGATGAGTCTTGACCTGAAACAACAAATTAAAAACATAAGACTAATTTTTCTAACAGAATAAAAAACAACTTCTGCATTATATAAAAACGAAAAAATACAAATAATATGTATTTATTTATTTGTATAGCCTATCCTTTATAAAAATAAAATACCCGTTTTTTATATATATAGCCTAACGGATAGCAAACAGAAAAACTACAAAAAGGAAATTAACCATTCTTACCTAAGCTTTCAATTCGATTTTATTTTTTTCATATTATGTGAGAGGAACACCAGCTTGTCCACATTGCTGGGAAGAAGGGAGCTTCTCGACTTGTTCACAATAAAGCCGGCCTTTGAAAAGATGCGCTCTGATGGAGTGGATGTGGAAGGGATACAGTGGAGGCGTTTAGCTGCTTTAGCGAGCTTTGGCTATCGATGTTCATTTTTTAGCCACCATGCCAATGGTCCCGAATCAACCTTTGTTTTATCTGCCAAGTACATTTTTAGTTCATCCTTCTCTTCTGCATGCTCCTCCTCATCAATGGCCATCAGCATGGATATCTCGGCCTGCTTTTCCTTTTTCGGTTCGGGCTCACCCTCCTCTGCAGGGCTAATGCTGCCATGCTCACTTTCTGGCGCAGCTTCTGTAGATAAACTTTCTGCCAGATCCGACACTGTGGAGTACGCATCTTCTCGTTCGTGTTGGTCAAAGAATGACAAGCTCTTAAAACGTGGGTCTAAGACAGCAGCTTGTATATAAATGCTGTTCGCAATATTTTCCGTCATTTGCCATCTCGTGTCGATTTCTTCTGATAGGCAAATATTTTCCTGCAGAGTTTGCAAACAGCCTTTTTAGGGTCGTCCTTCGACTTTTCAAAATGATCCCACACTTTGGACTATTTTCCTGACATAATTATTAGCGTCAGTCAGACACCTCTCCCACAAGTGCGCTTTGGTATACCGTGAGGCGCGAGATCGCGTTAAACTGTTGTTGCTGATGTCATACACTGACTGCGCAGCCCTTGATTGCGTAATTTCACGTGATTTTTTTTTTTTTTGCAACTAACCGACTAATGAAAATGTATTCGACCAAGCCCTCTTCATATCGACTTAAGTTTAGTCGACTATTTGGGGGCAGCCCTATCAGCAAGTTATTTATTTGTTTAAAAGCATGAATGCAATGTACAGTAATATACAGTGCATCTGGAAAGTATTCATAGTCCTTCACTTTTTCCACATTTTTTTAATGTTACAGCCTTATTCCAAAAGGATTATACCCTATAATGACAATGTGAAAAAAGATTTTTTGAAATTGTTGCAAATTTATTAAAAATAAAAAACCTGAAAAATCACATGTACATCAGTATTCACAGCCTTTGCCGTAAAGCTCTAAATTGAGCTCAGGTAATTCTGTTTCCACTGATCATTTTTGAGAAGTTTCAGCAGCTTAATTGGAGTTTAACTGTGGTAAATTCAGTTGATTGTAAATTATTTGAAAATGCATAAACCTGTCTATATAAGGTCCCAGGGTTGGCAGTGCATGTCAAAGTACAAACCAAGCATGAAGACAATAGAAATTGTCTGTAGACCTCCAAGACAGGATTGTCTCGAGGCACAAGGCTGTGGAAGGTTACAGAAAAATGTCTGCTGCTCTGAAAGTTCTAATGAGCACAGTGGCCTCCATCATCCGTAAGTGGAAGATGTTTGGAACCACCAGGACTCTTCCTAGAGCTGGCCGGCCATCTAAGCTGAGTGATCGGGGGAGAAGGGCCTTAGTCAGGCAAGTGATCAACAACCCGATGGTCACTCTGTCTGACCTCAAGCATTCTTCTGTAGAGAGAGGAGAACCTTACAGAAGGACAACCATCTGTGCAGCAATCCATCAACCAGGCCTGTATAGCAGAGTGGCCAGACGGAAGCCACTCCTCGTCTGGAATTTGCCAAAAGGCATCTGAAGGACTCTCAGGCCCCGTTTACACTAATGCGTTTTAGTTTGAAAACGCGTAAGTTTTGCTACGGTTGCGCCAACCGTCCACACTATGCCGGAGTTCTCGAGCGCCAAAAACTGAGCGTTTTGAAAATGCTGGAGAGGCCGTTTTCATTCTGAAATGCTGCTGCTCCGTCTCAGTGTGGATGAGCAAAAACTGAGACATCTGAAAACGGAGGCGGGGCTGCTGACATTCGCCTCTCTGATTAGGGCTTTTCCTCAATATTAAGTAGCCTAACAAACACAGTTCAGTCCTGCATCCTCTCCTTGTAAGTTCAGACTTCGCAAGTTTGATCAAGGCTGCAGTCTCTTCTTCTCAGTTTGATATGAAAAACAGACTATACCGAGGACACGGGTAAATCTTCAAAGGGAACAGTGTACTTTATAACTTCATTCACATCACCCTGGCTACGTTGTTTCACTTTCTCAACAATAAAATGTAAACATGATTTAAGGAACTGCCTATTTTCATTTTAATATTAGCAACTTAACAGACAGCAGAAATGTTGAGGCGTTGTGCTGTATATATGAGCGTCATCTTCACTGTGTGGATATTTATAACAAAACGGAGCCTATAACAACAGCCTCCTTTCAATTTCAGTGAAAATATGAAACATACCCTCTCTTTTGCTGAATATCAGTTTTAATAATTGATAATGGCCATTATAAAGTATAACATACAATAAGTTTATACATTATAGGAAATAAAGGCAAGCGATCAGTCAATATGCAGAATGTAGGCTACGTGAATACATTAATCATTAACTTATCTTTGCGCTCAGCCAAAACACGTTACCTGCAAACAAGTAATAGATTCCAATGACCAAAGTCAGGGAATATGTCGTTAGATAAAGACAACAAGATGAATGATGAATGAAATATCCCGTTTAATAAATATAGTGAGATTAGATCCAGCGGGAGATGCTTGATGAGCAGTCCGACTCACAGAGCTCTCATCTGGGTAGATGGGCTGCAGCGCTTGCCTGAGAGTGTGTGTGTGGTCACGTGATGTGCGTTTTCAGCGTTTTGGTGTGGATGGAGAGCTGTACAGAAACGCTGGGTAAAACGCAAGTGTGGACGCGGATTGTTTTCATTCTAAAACGCCATTTTAAAACTAAAACGCACAAGTGTAAACGGGGCCTCAGACCATAAGAAACTAATTTTGCTGGTCTGATGAGACAAAAATTTTTTTAACTCTTTGGAGTAAATGCCAGGCGTTACATTTGGAGAAATCCTGGCACCGCTCATCACAAGGCTAATACCATCCCTACAACAGTGAAGCATGGTGGTGGCAGCATCATGCTGTGGGGATGTTTTTCAGCAACAGGAACTGGAAGACCTGTGACTGTGGCAATGTACAGAGACATCCTGAATGAAAACCTGCTTCAGAGTGCTCTTGACCTCAGATTGGGTCGATGGTTCATCTTCCAGCAAGACAATGACCTAAAGCATATCGCCAAAATATCAATGGAGTGGCTTCACAACAACTCAAAGAATGTTCTTGAGTGGCCCAGCCAGAGCCCAGACCTAAATCCTATTGAACATCTCTAGAGAGATCTTAAAATGGCTGTACACCATTGCTTCCCATCCAACCTGATAGAGCTTGAGAGGTACTGCAAAGAGGAATTGGCAAAAAATCCCAAAGACAGGTGGGCCGAGCTTGTGGTATCATATTCAAAAAGACTTGAGGATGTAATTTTTTTGTGTGCATTAACAAAGTATTGAGCAAAGGCTATGAATACTTATGCACATGTGACTTTTTATTTATTTATTTATTTTTTGCAACAATTTTATAAAAAATCTACATTGTCATTATGGGGGATTGTGTGTCGAATTTTGAGAAAATTAATGAATTTAATCCATTTTGGAATAAGGCTGTAACATAAAAAATGTGGAAAAAGTAAGGTGCTAAGAATACTTTCTGGATGCACTGTATGGGACTTTGAATCAATTTACAAGCATGTTTTTGGCCAACAGTTTTACCACAAATTATGTAGCTAAACCTTACTTATCTCTAGCCAAATTGATATCCTTTATGTACCCTCATTCAACTCTTTCATATCATTATGTCAAATATTTGTATCATTTCAATAAATAAAAATTACTTTCATCAGTTTTGTTTTGAGTTTGAAGGTTTAAACAAAATGTTACTCTTACCAGAACTGCTGGAAGATCTGCTTTTAGACAAAAGAAGTGAACAACAAGTCTCGGAGTGCACATCACGAATATCACCATCAGGAGACAAAGAATGACAGAGATAACTGCATCTAAAACAGATAAACAACAATGGATGTTAGCATATTTTCTGTAAATTTACTAAAACGTTTATGTCATTAATCATTAATCAAAAACACATTATTTATTTTTACAAGGCACTAAGGATAAACTGTGTAGTTTAATCAATCTGCCTTTATTTCAGTTCACAAGGGACTTATTCAAATTAGTTGTGCCAATAGTTTTACAAATCTTGATGTGTACCCTGGTCTGATTACCAATCTCTTGCAATATATTAACAAACCATTTTCCAATTTGTCAAGAACAGTATTAGTTGATTATGTATTTATTATCATTAATACTTTAACTTTAAAATATATTGCATCTTTAGCATTATATATTGCTGTTCAAAGCTGTTACATTATTGAAAGAGAGAGAAAAAAAAAACAATACCTGAAACATTTGCTGTTTTAGGGGTTGAGGCACATACTGGTGGTCTGTTGGGTGGGCTTCGATCAATGATACTGACAGTCACACAGTACCTTTGGCCAGGGGCCAGGTTGCTAAGGGGTTCATTCCCCAACCCTTCCTTATCCACAGTAAACTATAAGTGAGTAACAACAAAAACATATTTATATAAAAATACACATTTAACACATTACTACAGGGGATGGGGGCTCTACTGTTTCACTACGATTTATCATTCCTAGGGCCCTTTAATAATTATATAGATTTTTATACTTTTATATATTGATTATTAGGGGCCAAGCCTATTGGAGAAAAGGGCTCTATGAGAAGTATTACTGCCCAAGTCCAAAAGCTGCAGGGTCCTATTGTTTTCTCAGAATTATTATTATTATAATCATATTAAATTCCTTTTGCAATTACTGTATTGCAATTACTTTAGTATGCCCTGAGCAGAGTGGTGCAAGGACCATCTTGAAATTGCTCCATTTATTATTATTATTATTATTATTACTATTATTATTATTATTATTATTATTATTATTATTATTATTGGGTCATGAGCAATGGTGAAGTAAGGACCCTTTTAGAACTGCACAGTTTATTAGGGCCCAAGCCAAAAGGGGCACAGGGCCTAATTATTTGAGCTTGCTTTCTAATTACTTGGAAAAAACTAATGACACAAGGAATAGAAAGCACGAAATCTCACTAAAATCTCAATCTAGTTTTGTTTTCTTTGTTTGTATTTATGGATTACAATGAAATATTACTGACATCTGGTGGAAATTTCAAGTCAACAGCGTCTTTAGAAATGTGTTTTCTGAGAAAAAATGTGTTAAATATTGTTGAATATATTGTTTAAAGAGCCCATATTATGGGTTTTTGAAAATTCCCCTCCATGTAGTGTGTAACACAGCTCTAAGTGAAGTGAAGTATCCAGCTAAGGCTTAAATCTGTAAGAATACAGTGTTTAAAACTGTTGATTCATCTATAAAAGAGTCGATTCATAGTGCTTCAAACGAGTCGCCTTGATACCGACTCATTAGGTGTTTCGCCATGACGTACGAACGAAACTAAGTTTTTCACGTGCACGCGCAAACCCGGGAGATTTCAAACCTGAGGCCCCGCCCTCTGACGCAGTAACCCAGACACACACACACACACACACCCACAAACACACGCACACAAACATGCCGGTCGATTGAAGTCACATTGCAGATGGATATATTGAGTCTCTACCCAAAGATGAAACCTCAGCATTATAGCCAAGCAGTTGGAAACTACTGGAAACTTCTGGAAGCTACATGCTACAAAGAATACTTCATCTGCGTTTGTTAAAGGAAGGATCAGTAACTTACTGATGGACATCAGGATGGGTTTCTTCCATTTCTCAAGTGTAAGTACGTGCGGTTAAAGTTGTTGCCTCGTTGACTCTAGCTTGCAAATGTATTTAGTTGTGATTTGTTACTTGTAACCGAGTGTACTGTATCAGGTTAACTGGCTATATTCTCTTATCGCGTGCAAAGTCACGTTAAAAACGCGACGCGTGCTGCTTTGTTTATGGAGCTCCGTGGTAACGTTAGAGGTGTGCATACCCGCGGCTGTCCCCGCGCCAGATTTCTGCGGCGCGGGAATAAATTTCCGAATAAATCGCCGGAGCGGTCGTTAACGGGTTTGATTTGGGACGGGAGCGGGCTGCCTGAGAAAGAGAAAGATGTGTCTGCTTGGTGCTTGTGTGTTAGTGCGCACGCGCGCGTATGAGAGAGAGAGAGAGAGAGAGAGAGAGAGAGAGAGAGAGAGAGAGAGAGAGAGAGAGAGAGAGAGAGAGAGAGAGAGAGAGAGAGAGAGAGAGAGAGAGAGAGAGAGAGAGAGAGAGAGAGAGAGAGAGCGAGCGAGCGAGAGCTTTATGCTTGGTGCTGTGTGTGTGTTTATACAGATTTTCGGTTTTGTTCTCCCCGCTCTTTAGCGGGATCGGGCGCGGCGGGCAGAATACGGGGCGGGTTCTAAGGCTAAAACCTGGCGGGTGCGGGCGGAAGCGGGAGCGTTCTCGTCCGGAGGTGTTTGTGTGTGTGTGGCAGCTAAAATCCACGCCTACACTATCTAGCGTGTATGAACTGTGATTACTTTTTAAATTGCTGATTAGCTATTGGCCATTTCACTCTCTGACTGAAGGCAGTCGACCAATCGCGACAGACTGTCATCGGTCCAATCAGCGCAGATTAGCTTCGCGCTAAGGAGGGGTTTGGGAAAAAATGAATCACTGGACGATTCATACAGGAGTCGCTGGGATAATTAGGTAAAAATAAATGCAGATTATAAGACCATGAAAGTGTTTTTTGACCTTGCATGCATATTAGACTGTTGTTGGAGACCCTTACAACCAAGATATGACCCTATTTCATGTATAATATGGGCTCTTTAAAAATGTTTTAAGTTAGTGTCACACTAAGTTAGTGTGATATCCAGAGAGGCAATTGCAGATTAGGAAGTGAAATGGAGCCTAAATAGTTACGTTGTTAGTTGTTTCTTGAAAATAGCGAGTGACTCTGCTGTTCTGATGCAGTTAGGGAGTTCATTCCACCAACTGGGCAGATTGAGCGTGAGCGTTCGCGAAAGTGATTTCTTCCCTCTTTGGGATGGAACCACGAAGCGACGTTCATTCACAGAACGCAAGTTTCTGGAGGGCACATAGATCTGCAGAAGTGAGAGCAGATAAGAAGGAGCAAGGCCAGAAGTCACTTTGTAGGCAAACATCAGAGCTTTGAATATGATGCGAGAAGCAACTGGCAGCCAGTGCAAACGGACTAGCAGTGGAGTGACATGTGCTCGTTTTGGTTCATTGAAGACCACTCGTGCTGCTGTGTTCTGGAGCAGCTGAAGAGGCTTGATAGAGCTAGCTGGAAGCCCAGCTAGTAGAGAGTTGCAGTAATCCAGGTTGAAGAGAACAAGAGCTTGAACAAGGAGTTGAGCTGCATGTTCAGATAGGAAGGGTCGGATCTTTCTGATGTTATAGAGTGCGAATCTGCACAATCGAGCAGTTCTAGAAATGTGGTCGGAGAAGTTTAGTTGGTTACTCCAAGGCTTTTCACCATTTTGGATGCAGTAATGGTTGCCCCATCCATCTGGATTGAAAAGTTATGGTGTAGAGTCGGTTGGCAGAAACTTCAAGCATTTCCATTTTTGCGAGGTTAAGCTGAAGATGATGATCTTTGATACTGGTCTGTAGTTTTCAAGTAGTGTATGGTCCAGGTTGGGTTTCTTTAGCAGTGGGGTTACCCTAGCCTGCTTAAATGAAGTGGAGAATAAACCAGAGTCAAGAGATGTGTTAATTAAGTGAGTCAGTGTTGGTATGACTGCAGGAGAGATGGCTTGCAAGAGATGAGAGGGAATGGGATCGAGTGGACAGGTGGTTGCATGGCTAGATAGCACGAGTTTGGACACCTCAGACTCAGAGAGCTGAGAAAAAGAGGTGAGTGTGTGTGTGGTGTTATACATACCTCTGACTTATGTAGCCGGAGGTATGTATGGCAGCATTTAATTTTTTAGGCGAACGCTACGGGGCGGTGTGACGCTGTTCCCTTTTGCACCTGCCGGCTGACCACTTACTTCCGTGTGGAGGGCTTTCCCACCGCAACCATCATTATTATTGTAATAAGTAAAACAAAGCCTGGTTTATACTTCTGCGTCAAGTGATCATCGTGACCCACGGCACATGCAACACACGTAGCTGTGCATTTATACTTCTGCGCGATGTTTCTGTTGTTCTGCAATAACACTTCCGAAACGCTAGTTGGCAGTGAGGTGTTACTGTTCCTCTGTGTTGAGTTTCTTTGCTAGTGTTTTGTTTTTTCTGAACGCTTCCTTAATGTACAAGTGGCTCAAACTCGCTCATTTTGAGGCAGGAACCGGCGGACGCGCAACAACTTTAACCATGAGGTAAACACAAAACAAAACTTTCCATCTGGAGCTCCTTCACGGGACTCACTTGTAAACAGTTGCTCTGCTCCCTGTCCCGCCCGCACTCGTCAGCGCTATCAAGCCGACCAATCACAGAGCTTGTGCTACGCATCGTTGCATCTTGTAATTATATTTTTTAAAAGGTGCGCGTCAGTGTAGCCGATGGCGAGGGCTATGCGTCAATGCCTAGGCCGTGCCGTAGTATACGCGTGGGTTTGACGCAGAAGTATAAATCATCCTTAATACTAGAATTTCAGGTTTTTCAACATCTGCCATAACATTTAAAGAGCTGCAGGAGCCAAGGGTTATTCCAAATTCGAAATATATAAATGACAACAACTTGAAAGGGTTGTTCATAAGACAACCTTTATAATCATGACCTGGCACATGTCATAATCGCTACATGGTAATATAACATAAACTTACTATCCTTATGCTTTGCCATCATCTGTAATTCGAACTTGTTTCCCTTTTAGGTGATCATGTGCATCATGTGCAAATTAATTTATTATAAAATGCTCCATTGTCTGACTTATCTTAGATTACTTATTCAAACACATCATTAAAAATTTTAATGCTTTATTAAAAATGATTTTCCTGACAATACTAAACGACAATAAGATGTATTTATTAGTTTTTAGTCCTGATTTACTGATACAGGGAATCCTGCAGTGATTTTATTTGAGCTGACAAGTTGAAAGTAGTTATTTCAAGTATTTAAGAAACTATAATAACTATAACTGTTATTAAGTATAATGTTTTAAACAGTAAATGTCATGGCATGTTTTTTGGATGTTGTACCAAAGCACACAGTAGCTCAATAGCATTGTACAGGCAAGATACAAAAATGTAGTTTATTTATCCCAGTAAAAAAAAAAAATAAAAAATTGCACCAATTGTCCCACTTCTCAAGAATTAGCATATATCAAATAATTAGGATGGCAGCATTAAATAAACAAGAGCATAATAAGAGCTCTATTAAAATGTATATAATTAACTTGTTTTTAATTATCAATTTAGTTTTTGCTAAAAACTACCGCATATTTGAAAAACATGGTTGTCTACACTCAGTTGGCAGTCAGTATCACATTTCTAAGAGATCTCTGGAGACTACTCTAGGTTATAAACCGATAAGCATACCAGCCCCAAACAATAACTAACTGAGAGAAAATAAATAAATGACTCTTGCGTCTTGAATTTATACACAGACACAACCTATCGGCTAAAACTGTAATACACATGTCCAAAATCTATCAGAACTATCATGTGAAATACAACATAAATGTGCCTGCATTTAAACTATCATGGTAAATATACATACTTATATATTTCCTTCAAATACTCTGAAACATAACACCACCTATCTTTAATAATATACATATGCAAACAATAGTGACACATTCTGGAAAGTCCTACAGTACCCAATGTCATGACTTTGAAGTTGGCTTTCATGTTCTAGGAATTACTATAAACTGTGAGTAGTAATCATGTAACATTATGTGTAAGACTACTTAATAAGTAATATTCTTTCCATTTAGTCACACTAGAGAAACAAATTTGTGCCTAATATAGAAAAGGGAAAAGTTTGTTTTCTCACCTCTGTTCCATCTTCACTGCTGACCCTCAGTCTATACTTCAACTTGAATGACTTGTAAATTTCAGAGAGCCTCTCAGCAGGTGCTCTGAGACTTACACACAGTGATTGATTACAGACTGTGATTGTCACCAGCGGTGGCTCTAAAATAGCTTTAGGAGGGGGGAAAGACAAGTTGTAAGGAACATTCTACAAAGATACCTAATTCCAGAATGTAATTTTAGAGCTAACAACAGAAGTTTGAGCTATTAAAATAAGACTAATGCTGTTCAGTCGGAGCTAGACTATTTTAATATTACTAATTAATATTTTTTTATATTATATTATTTTATATTAATAATATTATATTATTAATAATAACACTAATAATAAGGATTATTATTATTATTATTATTATTATTATTATTATCATTATTATATTGGAATATTGCTATATGAAGGATTGTGCCACTTGTTAAAATATTAAATATTAAAAAAAAAAATATTACACATTGTGACATCTGCTCACCACCTCAATGACATATTTTTCCTTTATTAATGAGATATCTAAAGGGAATAAGCAAAAAAGAAAATGAATGAATGAATGAATGAATGAATGAATGAATGAATGAATGAATGAATAACGAGATATCTTGTGAATTGAGAGACAACACTTTTCCGCCACTGGTGAGTTGTTATGGCAGTTTAAATTTTCCAATGGTTAATCGTTGGTTACAGTATCTCTCGCGGATACAAAAAGTGTAAAAGCATAATAATAGTTAAAAAAAAAAAAAGTATGTCACCAAATATATTTGACCAGCTGTTGATATACCTGGGCCCAGATTTTCTAGGGTAATCTACTAGGATTTTGGATAAGGGATTGACTGTTTTTACTTATATTCCATAATTTAGATTGGTATTGATTATACTTTAGTTTATTTTTAAGTTCATGGGCGGTTGTTTAAGCATTTCACTGCATACTGTAATGTGTATGACAAATTGAAATTTAATTTGCAACTTCTCAAGGTGTAGATGGATTTATTTGTTCCGAAATAAGGATTAAAATTGTTACAATCTTGTTTTTTATTCTTGGTGTGGTTAATTTTCACATTGTAAAGTTTCTAAATGGACCACAGTAGTTCTAACAAGTCATGTGCGAGAAAACTATCCTCAATCATTAATTTTTGAGCAATAATAAGACATGATAAGCAAAAAGGTGCACTTTAATTTTGAAACGTGACACTAACAGACATGGCCACCAAACATAAATCTAACTCTCATAGTCTCATTTCAGTTGTCAAGGGTTATAAATTTCTATCTATTAATCTGTCAATCTGTTGCCCATCATTTTTGTAACATTTAATTAGCTATATTAAAATAAGAATAAGACATTTAATAACAGTTTTTATTATCTAATGAGCCTAAAACAGCTAGAATTATGCATTTTAGGCTTTATATTATTGTTCATGAAGCAGATGATTTTTTTATCTTTTGTTTAAGGTGTCAGTGAAGAAATTAACAAAACAATAGGTCTAATACAAAATACTGTCAAATAAAACATCGAAAAAATACCAGATGGTAACGGGGCAAAAGTGTGAAAGCACACTCAAACTATTTTTTTTAGAAGATGGCTTTACGCTCTGCTGCAGTTTATAAACTTTAAGCTCATCAGCCTGAGCCTGTTGGTCAGGAGGGTTTTTGTTTTTGCCCTTCTAGTCAAATATATTATGTATCAAATAAACAGATACCAAATCCCCCTCATCTATATTTCTAATCATCATATGTATTATTAATTTGGCACCCCTAATTAACATCGAGCATGTTTTTTTTTTGTTCATGAAGACCTATAAACAAAATCACAGTAGAGTGTCTTACTGTTATCAATGGGTTTGAATGGGGTATAGGACGCATTCGGTGACATATGGCTGCCTAGAGCGGCAGAAACAATAATGTAATAGATTTCCTCCACATCAGAAAAGGCTTCTGTAAGATTACACAGTAGAGGGGATGTCACATTTTCACAGGCCTCCACCACCACCATACTCCCACTGTCAAAAAAGAAAATATTTGAATAAACATACATCAGTGTCTGACAAATTTTTATGAATAGTTAAAAAAAAGAAAAGAAAAATGTGTTATTTTGTCACCCTAAATTTGTACCAAATCTGTATGAGTTTCCTACTGAAGAAAAAAAAAAACGTAAAACTTTTGTTTTTATTCTTGTACTAACAGTCAGTGATTACAATGAATCTTTCCGTTATTTTACACATTTATTCTTTTGTGTTTAGCAGTATGTTAGGATCACAGTTATTCAGGTAAACAGTAAAGGCCAGATTTACTAAACACAGAAAATTTGCAAGATTTACAAAGCATGAATAGTCCCAAATATGTTGGGGTGCTTAGAAAATAATAAATATTCATGCCAAAGTTAGCTTACCTCATACACATTATAACACCCATATTGAGCAAAAGTATTCACCTTATTCTTTGCGTATGGGTGGGCACAGCCATTTGAATTTTTTTGGCTCGAGACTTCCGGTCTCATTTACTTCCATTCATTTTTAAATGTTAAAAAATAGCTTGTTCTGCTGCTTAATGTTGCAAACTGATATTTTCTTATTATATTATTCTATTTTTTCTGTATAGTCATGCAAACACTTGTTTGTAGAGCAAGTAGTTTAATTGTTTTCTGCCGTTTATTATTCCTGGTCATTTCTCCCATAGACAACTGATTCGGAACTTCTAAAACAATCGCAAAAACAGGCGCACTTCCGCATTTTAGAATAAGGTCAATACTTTTACTTTAATTAGGCAATTAGTTAATTAAATAATTATCCAAATAATATTTATATTCGCAAAACCGACAAACTCAGAAGGATACTGTAGTTCAGCCAAAAATGTTTAATTCTGTCATTATTTACTTACCTTTTACATGTACAATATATATGTAAGGAATAATCAACATTGTGGACCACAACGGACTAAAATCCTTTAAAGCATGGCAAGCTTATAATTATCCCACTTATTCCATGGCCATTTGCCAAGGTAGACCAAAGTTTAAACTAGTTTTGCTATTTGCAGCACAATATTTGTCAGAATTTTCCTCAGTTTTGATAGGTTAGATTTTCTAGTCCCTCCATTGAATCAGCAGTGACATGTAGACAGGCAGAAAGAGAAAGCATGTGCGTGCTGTTCATACCTGTTACAAGGCACATAGTTTACCCCTTTTTTATGATTTAATATTAGTATTAAGGTACTTCTGAGTGTGCCAGTTTAGGTTCAGTTAAAACAGTTCAGATTTTTTTATTATAAGGTGTTAAAAAGTGTCATGTTGGGGGCGTGTACACAACTTGCTGTTTTAGGGGTGTGTTGCTTCACATGAAAATTAGTTTCGACTTCCTGCCCAACGTTACAAGGTGGCGGAGCCAAGAGCTCACCCGCTCTGTGTTTGCAACAGACAGGCAGACTGAGAGAAGGAGCAGGAGTAAGATCAGTATTCAGCTGTACATGTACGACTCGGACACAGACCAAGCAGAGAGTACAAAATCATTTGTGTCTTTGTATAGTTTTACAGCCAACTGTGTGCTAGTTTCAAGTGCGGAAATTGTACACCGAGACTAATAACCACGCACACTAAATTAACAGAGCGACACGGCACACCAGACACTCTTTGTGGCGCGGCAGAAACATGAAGTGTCCCGAACTGTCGCGCCTCGCATTTTAGAACTCTAAACACAGGTTTCCATCAGGGCACACACAACAGCATTCCAACTCGGCAGCTGTCCGCGGTGCCCAGCCGCCGACTTGAAGCGCCGCCGCGAGCACCCCGACAGAAACCCACGCCCAGAAGTTCACTGATTTCTGATGTGCTAGAAACCAATCATCTGTGTGACCCAGTAAGTAATGTGCTTGGAAGTATACTTGATAAGACGAATCAGCCTGCGTGCAAGTTTCATCGCAGATATTTGCCATATAACGCTGTAATTTAGAAATACTTAATACATGTACCAAAATTCATAACAGTATCTAATTAAAATTGGTTTCGCATAGTACTAGATTTTATGTTTTAATTTCCCATGCATGAAATTCTGTACATACCTTTTTGTTTTTATTTTGACGGAGTAGTGGACACCATCAGGAGAGCCTGGCCCCATTTTCCAAGACAACAAGTGGACAAAATATTGGGACGACAGGTTTAGATGTTCCGGGGCAGGTATTTCCATGCATAGCACTTAATAGATAAAAAGAAACAATTATATATGCAAATAAAATAACAAAATACGAGGTAATATTATTTTTCCAGTAACTTGTATATATTAATTTAAAATATAATTTGATTAAGATGATTCTAAAAACTTAATAAACTATTTCAGCGCAAGTTAATGTTATTTCATGTCCAAGTTTAGGACACAGTTTTAATAAAACTAAAAAAAAAGTAAAATTTTGGAAAAGAAAAGACAACACCAAGCTAGAGTGAATTTTTCTGGACCAGTCACTTACATTTTTTTTTTTTTTTTTTTACAGGAATCTCTGAACTAATTAAACTAGTTAAAATTCAAATGAAGCAGTGCTGTCAACAAACCTGATTAAAACATAAGTAAATAAAAAAGAATGATCATCTTTCTGTATAATATCTATTCTTCAAAACATTTAGAACAGGAACAAATTACGGTACATATTTCTAATTACAAGGAAAATAAAAACTACTCTAAAAATGACTGGTGACGAGTCTCACGACTTCCATCTTCCCAAAAATTTGAAAAAATCATGATGGGTCTTGATTGATTATACAGGTTTGTTGCAAAACAAATAATTCTTTAAATTATTACCGTGAAACGTTATGTTGACACATTATATATATATATATATATATATATATATATATATATATATATATATATATATATATATATATATATAAACATTATATTGAAACATCTGATTATATTTTCCAGAACAACTGACCCCAGAGTTAAAGGAATCAGAAAAATATAAATTTGTAAGCATGTTTTGTATTTTAAATAAAGGAAATAAACATGCGTTATGGATGTGACAAAAAAGTATGCAAATTTGCAGTATACAACATGCTTTGTTGAAATTCTGTGAATTAAACTGCACAATCCAAAAGAAATAATGTTAATCAAAAGGATAAGAATCGGCTCTCTATAGAACAACTATAATTGATTTTATTTTATTTCATATTTTTGCATTTATGAGGAAAATGTGTCGTTATGGATGTGGCATCTCTCTGTTATGAATGTGACCGATGTGAAATTGCCACTTGTGTGACTTTGGTAAACCAAATATAATAGTTTGAAAACATTGACTGAGATATTTTTTGAGTATTTCAAAATTACTGTAAAATACTTGTTTACACCAAACCGTATTTTGGTGAAAACGTAATTATATTATTTGATTTATTTATTTCATGGCAAGGTTGACATTTGCATGGAATTTCATATATATATATATATATATATATATATATATATATATATATATATATATATATATGTATATATATATATATATTTGACTAACGTTACATTTGTATACATACGTCTGTCACAGTCAGTCAGTAAGCTATAACTTATTTACAAATCAATGAACGTTTCATACTTAACAGTCACATCGTTTTAAAAAGAGCATAAAATACAAAAGCTATACTATGAATCCTCACCTAGGGTAAACAGAACAGTGAATGCAAGTATACTTGTAATCACAGACATTGTGCAATGTCGGAATCGCATTTAGGTGACTCCAGAAGTCGTGTTTTATCTGCCCTCATTGAGACATCCAGTGATTTATTTTCCATAGGTTCCACTTTTCCATATAGCCTAGTTCTTTATAAATATCAGTCCATACTTTCCGTTGAAATTATGTATATAAACACGCTTGCCAACGTAAAAGACTTCCACAGCTTTCGGTTTCATTTGGTGTTTATGATCAGACGTCACATGACTGTGTTCTTTTCCAGGTTTTGTGGCGGTTGGCGTTCAGCGTGTTTACCATCGCCACCTTCTGCTTCGGAGTGTGGAATAGACTGGTCTGCGCTTTGCCTAAATTAATTCATCTTTTAAAGGTTCAAGGACAGACCTGATGCAGGCCAATTGAAAGGGGTGGTTCTTTTTTCTCAAAAAATTGAGTTTTTGCAGTTATTCTCCTAAAAATTCTATTCATTTATGGGGTTCAAATATTACATTTTAGTAACATTTTAAGAACTAATCTTTGCTGCATTAGCTTGAAGAAACAAAATAGAAACAATAATATTTCTTAAAATGTTGTCAAAGTGTTTATCAAACTATTTTACCTCAAAGTGTTATTTAGATTTAGTGGTATTTAATAAATGTGCATTTATACTGTAGGTTATTATAATTTTATAAATAATGTTTTGAGATTAAAATTTAACATAAAAAATATTAAAAAGTATGAAAAAATACATATTTTTAAAATCCGAATTTATTGTCATATATCATTTTAAAAAATAGGAATCTGTTAAAACATCAAAAACAACAAAAAAAAATGTAAAATGGTAGCCTGCAGTTAAAAGAAAAACACACTGGCTGGCTCATTTCCTCATTCAGAATTTGTAAGTTTAAATAATTAAACATTTAAAGCCTTCTTCTAAGAATTTTCACAATTTATGATGGCATACTGTCAAAAAAGAGACAAATGAGTTTAAATAGCGGCCAAACTCTGGACATTGTCAGTGACCCTCCTGGCTATGGGCCTGCTAGAGAATGACTAGATATATTTAAGGGGTGCTCGGGGAGAATGGGGTCAGAGACGCTCTGATAAGGGCTGTCCTGTCCCTGTATGAACAGAGTAGGAGTTTGGTTCGCATTGGCAGCAATAAGTCAGACTTGTTTCCATTGCACGTTGGACTCCGGCAGGGCTGCCCTTTGTCACTATTTCTGTTTATCAATTTTATGGACAGAATATCAAGGGACAGCTTTGATCTGGAGGGGGCCAGTTTGGGGAACCCAGGATTTCATCTCTGTTATTTGCAGACAATGTCATTCTGTTGGCTTCATCGAACATTGACATTCAGCATGCACTGGGGCGGTTTGCTGCTGAGTGTGATGTGGCTGGGATGAGAATCAGCATCTCCAAGTCCGAGCCCATGGTACTCCACCGGAGAAAGGTGGTTTGCCATCTTCAGGTTGGAAAAAAGTCCTTACCCCAAGTGGAGGAGTTTAAGTATCTCAGGATTTTGTTCACGAGTGAGGGAAGGATGGAACATGAGATTGACAGGCAGATCGGTGCAGCGGCAGCAGTATTACAGTTGATATACTTGTCCGTTGTGGAAAAGAAGGAGCTGAGCCGAAAGGCATTTTCGTTCCTACTCTTACCTAGGTCATGAGCTGTGGGTCATGACCAAAAGGACAACATCTTGGATACAAGTGGCCGAAATGAGTCCAAAATGAGTTTTCTTCGAAGGGTGGCAGGGCGCACTCTTATGGATAGGGTGAGGAGCTCTGACACCTGGGAGGAGCTGTTGCTCCTCCACATCTAGAGAAATCAGCTGAGGTGGCTCGGGCATCTGTTTCGGATGGCTCCTGGACGCCTACCTAGAGAGGTGTTCCAGGCATGTGCCACCAGGAGGAGGTCTTGGGGAAGACCCAGGACAAGCTGGAGGGACTATGTTTCTGGCACCGAAGCATCTCATTGTCATATTTCTTATGCATGGTTTGCTGACTTTATTCAACAAAACTATAGCCTACCGAGTGTTTAGTGCGAGTTGCTGCTGCTTTGCCTTATGGTACGCTAAATGCAGTAAAGTGACTCAATAACGTTACCCGTTTAGCACAAAAGTTCATAACATACAAAAACGTAAAAAACTAAACATTATCTATGAAATGTTCTAGCTTTGTGCTTTGTTTTCTTTGTTTGCTCATTACTTTACCCGTAGACAGCGCTAAAGTCCAGCATCTTTACGTAATAACACCGTCTTTACTAGTGCAGTTGAATGACACTTGTCGTGGGATACTGCGGTCACGCCATCTGCGGTTCAGAAAGAGACGGTCACGCTATCTGTGCTTTAAATTTAGGTGCGCGTCTACTCGGTGTTTCGCGGTAAATTAAAGACGCGTGTGTTTAATGCGCTGGAGTTTTAGAATCTTAGAATCTACCTAAATGGTAGATTGTAAATATGAAAAGGAGTGTTAATAGTCATGACAGCTGGGTAATGACTTTAATACTGTTAATTATGTTTAAAACTCGCAAATAAAACACAATTACAGCAAAACAAAGAAATAATAGCATAGCCTACATCAAAGTCATGATAATTATTTACCCAAATATGAATAAAAGTGACGATTTTTGATTATCATTTGAATTCATTCACACGAAATAAAGTAAAACATGATTCTAAAACTCCAGCGCATTAAACACACGCGTCTTTAATTTACCGCGAAACACCGAGTAGATGCGCACCTCAATTTAAAGCACAGATAGCGTGACCGTCTCTTTCTGAACCGCAGATGGCGTGACCGCAGTCCTGGGATCACTGTACAAATATGGCGGCATTATTGACGCATGCTCAGGGTCCCTATGCGATATCTAGTGTATATATCTATGGGCACTTTCGGTCTCCCTTCTCGTTAATTTGTTGCGTTTAAGATAAAATCACGTGACGTGCTCTGCCTATCAGTGAACCGGGTGTAGTGACGTTGAGAAAGCAGAGTCGGGAAGTCCGCTCACGACTGAATGCTCGATTAGATATTTCTGTTTACGTAGACTATTAGGCATGACTCGTAAATACTTTATCGTCGATAAAATAAAAGGATTTACAGGTATTTTTTAAAAAGCATTTAACGCGTTTAAAGAAGTGTAAACAACTAGACCTTGATACATATTAGTTTAAGATTTGTTGTTAACATTGTTCCTCACGGTTATCCGTTGTTTAATGAAGATACAGATGGATTTAGTGTTATAAGCTGCTTAACACTGTTTATCTATTGCCATTTATAAGATCTGGACAATCCCTGGTGGTGTATTGATTAGGACCTGGACATGCTGTGAAATCACCACGACTTCATCATTGCTAAAGGTAGTTTATGTCTAACGTTATCATTGAAATGACGACAAATTCATATACAGGTGTGTGCCAAATTATAGAAAGGCATGTGGTATTTTTTGACCATTATTAATTATAAAATATTTTAAATGTTTTACTCTGACATAAGTTAATGCCCTTCATTTAATGTTAAGTAATTTTGCAAAAAAAAATTCCATCAATAGGCTACTTTTCTGTTGAGCTCAGGAATATTATAGTCAGAACACTGATTAAATGATAAATAAACAGAGGTATTTATTACAAATGATTTGGGTATTATATTTTAGTTAAAAGTGATGATATATTTTCACTCTAGTAAATTAGCATTTTATATGGGCTATTCAACCTGGAGGAGAGTAACACATTTTATATCTGATTTTAGAAGAACTTTTAAAATATATTTTTATAGTTATTTTATCAATAAAATTAATATTAATAATGTTTGTATTTACAAAATTTGGTGATCGATACAATTTTAGCTTTTAAAACAAGTTTAGCCTGCTCACCAAGGTTGCGTTTATTTTGTCCTACAGTAAGTAAAAAAATACCGTAATATTGCTATTTAAAATGACTATGAGTTTTATTCAGGGTGGCACAGTGGGTAGCACAATTGCCTCGACTGGGTCAGTTGGGGTTTCTGTGTGGAGTTTGCATGTACTCCTCGTATTTGCGTGGGTTTCCTCCGTGTGCTCCGGTTTTCCCCACAGTCCAAAAACATGTGCTATAGGTGAATTTGGAAAGCTAAATTGTTCGTAGTGTATATGTGTGAATAAGTGTGCATGGATGTTTACTAGTAATGCGTTTCAGCTTGAAGGGCATCCACTGCGTTAAAACATATGCTGAAAAAGTTGGCGGTTCATTCTGCTGTGTCGACACTGGATTAATACAGGGACTAAGCCGAAAAGAAAATGAATGAATTAATTTTATTTTTTATTGAGTAATGTTTGAAATAGTTTAATTCCTGTGACACAAAGCTGAATTTTCACCATCATTATTCCAGTGTTTTGAGCAGGTGTACCCAAACTTGGTCTATCATGGCTGGTATAGTAGCTCCGACCCCAATTAATCATACTCTTACTAGTCATACTATTCTCCTGAAAGGTGTGAATTGAAGCAAGTTGGAGGAAGCCCTCCAGGATGGAGTTTGGGCAGCACTGTGACTGAGTCTCATAATCCTTCAGAAATCATTTAATTCTGATTTGCTGTTTTACTGTTCAATTAGTATTGGCCACCAGGCTGGTCAAATTTAGCCATGAAACCTCCAACAGTAAATTGGCTAATGTTTCAGTTTCATTGTCTAACCCCTGTATATATCTATATATACAGTTAAAGTCAGAATTATTAAGCCCCCTTTGATTTTTTTTTTCTAAATGATTTTTAACAGAGCAAGGAAATTTTCACAGTATGTCTGATAATATTTTTTTCTTCTGGAGATAGTCTTATTTGTTTTATTTCAGCTAGAATAAAAGCAGTTTTTTTTTTTAAATAATTTTTGGGACAAAATTATTAGCCACTTTAAGCAATTTTTTTTTCTTTCCATAATCTACAGAACAAACCATTGTTATAGAATTACTTGCCTAATTATCCTAACCTGCCTAGTTAACCTAATTAACCTAGTTAAGCTTTAAAAATGTCACTTTAAGCTGTATAGAAGTGTCTCGAAAAATATGGAGTAAAATATTATTTACTGTCATCATGGCAAAGACAAAATAAATCAGTTATTAGAATTGAGTTATTAAAACTGTTATGTTTAGAAATGTGCTGAAACAATCTTCCCTCCATTAAACAGAAATTGGGGGAAAAAATAAACAGTGCCACTAATAATTCAGGAGGGCTAATAATTCTGACTTTAACTGTATATATACACAAACACACACACACACACATACGTTTTAAATGATTAACAAATCCCGATGTAAAAGAGTGATAGGCTTCAGTCTAAATGCAGTTAAAGCTTTGCTGCTGTTTGGAGTAGATTGTGAATAAGGTATATTTAACCAGTTTTGAGGTTTTTACTTGATTTATGGTTCAGGAGTTCACCAGAGTGTCTTTTCTTTAAATACTGTGTTTTGGGGTTTTCTGATCACCAGTAATAGACTATCCCCCTGTTTTCACAGACAAGGCTTAAGACTAGCCCAAGACTAAAATGTAAGTCTAAGCTGTTTCAACCGAAATAAAATTGCACTGATTGATTTTTAAATATATCAGTGGCTTTGTTTTGTCTCAACATGCTTAAAAGTAATGTTTTTTTTCTAAGCATATTTATAAAAATTACTTAAAAGTCCTAATTGAACTATGGTCTAATCCTGGCTAGTTTAAGCCCTGTCTGTGAAACCGGGCCTAAATGTCCTAATGACTGCATCCATGGCAAACAGTAGTAAAGCCAGGAATAAATGTACAGAAAAGGTAGTTGAGACAGACACGTAGAAGATTTGAAGGAACAAAGCACCGTTTGAGCTATTGTCATAAAGTTCATGACCAGTATTTTTTTATTCTTTGGCAAAACATCAATTTCATTTACTCTCACAATCCTGTGATTGTGACCATATTGGACACGAAAATAATAGCGAGTATAACGGAAGTGACATTTTTGGTTTTCATGGATAGGGAACAAAAGGTACTTTGCTTAGAAGCCCCCCAGATTGAAGCACATTTGTGTGACACAAGAGATCTGAAGTTAGAAATCTGTTATTGTGGTTATGACCATTGGACCAGTAACACTGAAGCATTTCAAATTATATTAAACATTATAGATAAAGTCGATTGCATTGGTAATGAACATTCATATTTTGATATGATCTTTCTGTTTGAACTGAGTGCAGAGCAAAGTGGTTGAAGGGAAAGATGTGTGGGAGGAGGATCAAATGTAAATGATGGAAAGGAGAGAAACAAATTTTCTTGCACTTTCAGTGTGTGGGTGTGGAGGAAATTGTCTGTCTTTATACTGCCTGTTTGTATTGTCCATATTGGGCATGGGCCGGTACAAGATTCTGACAGTATGGTAACCTTGGATAAAAATATCACAGTTTTACAATATCACGATATTGTAAGTACTGCTCTAAAATATCTTCTTTTTAAAAGTCTGGGTAAAAAAAAAAACTAATTTTGAAACATTAAATGTCAGCAAACATTGAATGACTTCTGCTGTCTTCTTTAGTTTCAAAAACAATTTTTTTTCAACTTGAAATGGCACCTTTGGATATCTTTTTTTTTCTTCGGAAATAAAGCAAGCTACAGCACTGTTCAATACTCGCCTCAATAACATAGTCATAAAAAAACAGGTAACAAAACAAAACTTACAAATACTTTAGGAATGGTATACCAGAAAATTTTAATGGTTTTAAAACCTTGAATTTTCAAAACCACCGTATACCTTAAAACTGGTTATCGTCCCATGCCTAGTCCATATACAGTCATCTGTTTCTGAGGTATCTTAAATCTTACAGTTTTTCCTTAATAATAAAAATGGTAAAATTAAGATTTCTAAACCAATGAAGCTTTTAAGCCAATTGTATTGGGAAAAAAAGTTTTTTACTCAAAGCTTTCCAAATCGGAGCTCGATGAGGACCTTGTTAAAGTGTGGGAAATGCTGTTTTACAACCGACGAGTGCAATCCTGTATTAATACAACAATAATATTAACACATTACTCAATTACCGTTGTTTTTCTTTTTACATATAAGGTATGTTACAGTTTACTGTGGTAAAAAAGTTATACTACAGTATTTATTTAAATGTTTACTGCAGTATTTGTTTCAGTATTTACTAGAGGATTATTTTTGGCTATATATTTCAACCAGCCTAAACCCACTTGTTTCAAGCGGGGATCAAACCGGTGATTTCTACATGGTAGGCGAATACTCTGAGGCTAGTAGAATGTGGCTTATCTGTACTGCACTTGCCAGTTGCCGTCTGTTATGCAGTATGATGTAGCGTTCATTAACAAATAGTTTTGATTATGTAAAAAAATAAAAAGTGAACAGACAATAAATAATATCCAGCTCACCTTGCTTGCGGATAAGCCCATTTATTTAATTCATAACTGCCACTAATAGCTATGCAAAAGGGAACCTATTTTTAGTGCATGAGAGTGTTTTGCATGTAGTGGCATTTGGTCAAATATTTGTAACCTAGCATATAATAATAATTTTTATTGATAAAGCAAGTTATTGTTTCATAACTATAGTTTTCTTTTTTTGTTGGCCAAAAGCTGCTGGCGCACATAGGTACCTCTGCGGCGGCGTTAACAATGTCGGCAGAGGGAACATTTTGAAATGGTGACATCTGCAACTTGCGTTACTTGTACTCTTAACACTGGTTGTAACTTTAGTGATGTTTAATCCTTTTTTAATTCATACACTGAAGTTTAAATACAATATCCGGTATTGCAATTAATAAATTGTTTAATTTCATGCATATTGCATATTTTTCCTTTTTGCATTTCAAGAAACTGCATTGTAAAAAAATATTTGTAATATCCATTTTTTTTTTTTTGTATTTTGTAATTCATGTTTTTTTTTTATTATTATTCATGGATCCCACTTTATATTAAGTGTCCTTAACTACTATGTACTTACATAAAAAAATAAATGCAATGTACTTACTGTGTTTATAATGTATTTGAGAACACTTGTGGTGCTTTTGAGTTGGGATAGAGGTTGGGTTATGGACATGTTTGGTGGCATGGGTAGGTTTAAGGTTGGGTTAAAGTGTAAGGGATGGTCAACAGTGTATTTACAAATGTAATTACAAAAGTTAATTACAGATGTAATTACATACATGTATTTAATCAAGCATAAGTACACAGTAAACGCATGTATTTACACAATAAGTACATTGTAACAAACTATTAATTTCTGTGAAAGTACATATTAGTTAAGGCCACTTAATATAAAGTGGGACCAAAGTTACTTTTTATAAAAAAATTTATAGTTTCAGGCGGGGCTCGAAATTAACTTTTTTACTTGGTAGCACCGGTGCTCTCAACTTTAAATATTTAGGAGCATCCAAAAAAAATTTGGAGCACCAGAAAAAATTTAGGAGCACTCACCAAAAATAAATGAGCACCACTGCAAACTGTATATTAAGGGGTTTATTGTATTTGAAAACAACATCAATTAGGACTAACATAAACCAGAAACAACTATCTAACTAATGCTGTGATGACTTAATATTTGTGCAATAATTCCAAAATGAATATCCTATAATTATAAAATATTGATGCTGACGATGATGCCAATAATACTAACAATGAATTACATTTCTCATGATCATGCTGCCCTGAATGTGTTTGAGTGTGAGTTATCTGATATATGAAGTCCTGCTGTTACTTTATGAAAATTAAATTTATGGTTTGCATCAAACACAAATGAAGCATTGCAGTAAGAAATATTTATGTTGTACTATTATTTTTTGTATGCATGTCAATTAAATAAATAAAAAAACAAACAAAAGATTATAATAAACCATTCAATTTAAGGCTGAAAGCTGCAAAGCAGTCATCAGTGATAAAGCAGAAAAATAATATACATCTCAAGAAAGATTGGACAAAAGAAAGGAAGAAAAGTCTCACTTTTAAAAGTTTTGGTTTCCGTTTGTGTCATTTTAAATGCTAAGTCTCATTATGCGCTGACTTTCATCTCTCTGTGTTTGTGGGAAAAAAAGCAGGTGAGTCAGCCGACCCAATATATGAGGGAGGGCAGCGCAGGATTCTCCCGATGACCACTGGCGCAATACTGTTCTTTGTTATAAGCCGCATCAGTTTAAACCTAGTAAAGGCGAGGTTTTTTGGTGATGGTGTTAGACACTCCTAACACATTTTTCATTAATTTGACTGGAATGAGATCAAATATACATGTAGCTGATTAACACGTATTGATACATTTATTTATCTCTTCTTTTCTATCACACTGTCTTCCTGTCCTCATGACAGTTGTCTTCAAATAGTGATCCTAATTATCTGCTTTGTTTTGTATTTTTATTTTAGTGTGACTCTGCTTTTGTTTGTGAAATATGATTGGTTATCAAAATGAAGACATCATCATCATACACTGGCCGTCTTTTTCTCATTCATCTTTACTTTACAGGTATGATCTTGGCGGGTTAGGTGGATTTGGGGTGTGCAACCAAAATTAAATAACATATTAAAATTTAAAAGAAACATAACAAGTATGTAATATGTTTAAGTGACACTTGTGTTTATGATTTTCTCCTAGTGATCTATGCAATCCCTGCTCCTGTCAACTTTACAATATGGTCTCACAACTTCAGACACATTTTACACTGGAATTATGGGGTAAATTCTCCTCCACAGAGCGTTTTCAATTTACAAAGGTATGATTCTAAAGCAGTTTTTTATGTTTCCTCAAATACCAACAGTGTGCACACTGCAAAAAAAAAAAGTGTATTCCTTACTTAGATTTTTTTTGTCTTCTGACTAGTCCAAATATCTAATAATAATATTTGTCTAATTACCCTTACCTGCCTAGTTAACCTAATTAACATAGTTAAGCATTTAAATGTCATTTAAAGCTGTATAGAAGTGTCTTAACATTTAGTAAAATATTGTTTACTGTCATCATGGCAAAGATAAAATAAATCAGTTATTAGAAATGAGTTATTAAAACTATTATCTTCAGAAACGTGTTGAAAAAAAATCTTCTCTCCATTAAACAGAAATTGGGCAAAAAATAAACAGGGGGGGCTAATAATTCAGGGTGGCTAATAATTCTGACTTCAACTGTATATCTGTGATCGGGAGTTTTTCCACTGGTGACTATGCAAATGTTTTTTTTTATTACGAAAATTATATTTTTACATTACTTTTCCAAATCGATGGATCAGTGACCGCACAGCCCTTGCTGACAAAGAGCATGTATTTGTGTGCATAAATATATCCCTCCCTGTAAATTTGATCTAATCCATGTCCTGAAACACACCCCCTCTTCTGTTTTCATTCACATTTGTGAATAAATCCCTGTAATGAACAACTCGTTCACTCAGCCGACAATAACACAAGTTTCTGGTACTGTAGCATCTTGTTATCATATTTAATTTACATTGTTTGCTTATTTTATTTAACCAAACTAGCATAAAACTAGCATAAGCCTGGTATTTAGTGCAGGTTGATGTGACTTTGCCTTATGTTCAGTGCAGTAAGTGACTTTATTACCTGTTGAGCATAAAAAGTTCGTAACATATAAAAACGTAAAAAGCGAAATCTTACCTATTAAATGCTCTGCCTTCATGCTTTGTTGTCTTTGTTTGCTCGTTACTACACCTGTACACAATGCTAAAAGTCCAGCATCTTCACATTGGCTTTAGTCTTGACTTGTGCGCTTGAATGACATCTATCCTGGAAGCACAGTACAAATGTTGATGCATGCTCAGGGTCCGTATGCGAAATCTAGAGTATATTTTGTTGATTTTAACTAAACACCGACAGCAAAATTATTCAGAAGCCTGACAGGTTTTAAATTAAATTAATCAGCTGTTATTTGTTATTTAAACATTGAATTGAACCTGAAAGTGTGAGAAGTTTGTATTTTTGCACCCCTGATATATATACAGATGTATAAATATTTGCACATCGACGCAATTCAAAAATCTTATACACCAGCGCAATCGATTTGAAATGAAAGAAACAAAATGTGCTTTAACTGCAGGCTATCAGCTTTAATTTGAGGGTATTTACATCCAAATCAGGTGAACGCTGTTGGAATTACAACCGTTTGCATATGTGCCTTCCACTTTTTAAGGGTTCAAAAGTGCAGAATAATAATAATAAATCAAACTTTTATTTTTTTTTAAACTTGGTTGAAAATCCTTTGCAGTCAATTACAGCCTAAGCCTGGAACGCATAGACATCACCAGATGCTGGGTTTTATCCCTGGTGGTGCTCTGCCAGACCTCTACAGCAACTGTCTTCAGTTCCTGCTTGTTCTTGGGGCATTTTCCCTCAAGTTTTGTTTCTAGCAAGTAAAATACATGCTCAATCAGATTCAGGTCAGGTAATTGACTTGGCCGTTGCGTAACATTCCTCTTCTTTCCCTTCAAAAACTCTTTAGTTGCTTTTGCAGTATGCTTTGGGTCATTCTCTGTATTCATCTGCTCTGTGAAGCATGGTCTAATGAGTTCTGAAGCATTTGGCTGAATATGAGCTAAAAACATTGAAACACTTCAGAATTGATCCTGCTGCTTTTGTCAGCACCATCAAAAAATACAAGAGAACCAAGACCATACTGTACATGCTCACGCCATGTCACTACTACCACCATGCTTCACTGCTTAGGATCATGAGCAGTTCCTTTTCTTCTGATCAGTCTTGTACAAGTTGATCTTAGTCTCATCTGTCCATAGGATGTTTTTCCAGCACTGTGAAGGCTTTTTTAGAACTCTACTCTGGCCTTCCTGTTTTTGAGGCTCACCAATGGTTAACATCTTGAGGTGAACCCTCTGTATTGACTGTGGTGTAGTATTCTCTTGATTGTTGACTCTGACACACATACACCTACCTCCAGAAGAGTTTTCTTGATCTGTCCTTCAACTGTTGTGAAGGGTGTTTTCATCATCAAACATTATTTGTTATCCACCACAGTTGTTTTCCGTGGTCTTCTGGTGTTTCTGAGCTCACTGGTGTGCTCTTTCTTTTGAAGAATGTTCCAAACAGTTGTTTTGGCCACACCTAATGGTTTTGCCATCTCTCTGGTGGGTTTGTTTTGATTTGTTTTTTCAGACTAATGATGGCTTGCTTGACTATATGTGACAGCTCTTCGGATCTCATCTTGAGAGTTGACAGCAACACATTCCAAATGCAAATAGCACACTTGAAATGAACTCTGGACCTTTTGTTTGCTTTTACACACACAAAACACATATAATTAATGAATATTTTGCATCCTAGGCAATGCTTATTAATATTCCCCTGTGTCTGTGGCTTGTTTGGATCTTTTTTTAATTTAGATTTTACAAAATGTGAAACACATAAGATCTTAAACTTTTCCTACTTTGCCATTTTTCTTAAAGAATCCAATATGTTCTTTCATAGATTTGAAAAGGGAAAGCAAACAGAGCATTTGAACATCAGAAATACAACTATGGATGTCTCTGAAGCATGTCAAGACATCTACATACCCTGCACTTTCCTTATTTGGGCATCGCTTGACAATATGAATTCATCAGTAATTGAAAAAAAATTCATACCGTATGAAGACAGTAAGTATTTGAAGATCAGTTCAGTAAAGTACAGTTTGTGTGTTCATGCATTTTGTATGTTAATGGGTCTCTTGATTTAGAGTTTATAAGTATTTAAAAAATGTATTTGATGATGCTTTGTTTAGCTATCATAGGTCCACCAGTTATATTTTTGTCTGGCTGTGGAGACTGTTTGAATATCAGCATCTCTCTACCCAATGAATCAAGGAAAGACGATAAACTGCGTCGGTTTTATAATTCTGTGTCCTACAGTATAAGTTGGAAGAAACATGGAAACAATGAGGTAAGGATCTTGTAGAAAGTTCATACTTTAGTACCTATGATTTAATTGAAGACTCTTTACCTCTTTTAATAAAACCTTCTCTTGTCTGTGAGATGCAATTTATGATTATTATGTGCCTTATATTACCTTATAGTATTTCAACCTAGAACAGAAAAATAACCAAAAAAACAAAAGAAAAGGAAAACAGTATTTTTTACAAAAGTATAAACATGTTTTTCTATATATATTTTTTTTTATACAAAATGAATGAAAAGTACTATCCCATACAAATGTACAGTTGCAGGACTTAGTCATTAGCATTTCAAAACTTAAAAGCTTAATTTCTTACTGGTTAAGTAATAAACAACACTGTTCTTGAAGAAATAGTTAACCCAAAAATAAAAAAGTTTGCAAAAAAGATTTTCTCACCATTCCAAACTTGTTTTATTTTTTTATTATTTTGTCTGTGTAACACAAAATAAGATACTTTGAAGAATGTTAAAATTTTTTTTTACCAAACAGTCATCAAAATAGCTCCTTTTTGTGCCTATATAAAATCAGTTTTTGGAACAAGTTAAAGGTGATAAATGATGATTAAATTTTCATTTTTGAGTGAACAGTTCATTATACAAATGTTTGTATATTGATAACTGTGGCAACTGCAAACTAGGGCTGTAAGATTATGGGAAAAATCATAATCACGATTATTTTGGTCATAATTGTAATCACAATTATTCAAAACGATAATCAGTTGAAGTCAAAATTATTCGCCCTTTTGGTAATTTCCCAAATGATGTTTAACAGAGCAAGGAATTTTTCGCAGTATTTCCTATAATATTATTTTGCTGGAGAAAATATATATATATATTTTTTATTTTGGCTAGAATAAAAGAAGTTTTAAATATTTTGAAACCTATTTTAGGATCAATATTATTAGCCCCCTTAAGCAATATATACTTTTTTATTGTCTGCAGAAGAAACTATTGTTGTACAATGACTTGCCTAATTACCTTTATTAAGCCTTTGAATTGCACTTTAAGCTGAATGCTAGTATCTTCAACTGTATATTTAGTTATTTTCCTCCCTGTAAATAAGAAAAGGGAAATAAATACAATAGAATAAAAATTTTAAACAAACTGCGCTTTAAGCTTCTTCACTGTAAGAAATTCATTCATTCATTGCAGTGGGATAGAACTATTGTGCAATATGGCTATTGAGACCGGAAGTAGGAGAGAGTTGCCATAGTAACAACAAATATTAAAGTAATTAAAAATGTTTTTTCTTTGAAAAATGCAAATATACCTATGATAGAATACAAAATTTAAAACAGAATTTGATGAGCACTTCCCTGAACTGAATGTATTTATTTATTTAAAAGTAGCAAGCTTTGAAACCCTCATTAAAACTCAAAAGCAAGACACATTCAAGGTGTGGGCGTTAGACTTTTGTATTTATATATTTTTTTAAACTCCCAATTTAATCTTAATTTTGAATTTTAAATTCTCAGTTTGTGACTCAAAACCCTTATTTTTTGCTTCCCTTATAATTATTTTGTTTATTAGAGCTTTGTGAAGGGCTTTTTATTGAGGTTTTATCTTCCACTTTGCATACTTCGTTTATTATCTGAACGGCTTCTGACTGAACTTCATCCATTGTTAACATTCTGAAACAATTTTAAAGGTTTTTTTTTTTTAACTGCGTGTATCCTTTAGTCACTCAGTTATGTTATAAAAATGTATTTTCTTGTGATAACGGGGTTTTATTGAGACTTATTTTCCTCACGCATGCATGCATATATATATATATATATATATATATATATATATATATATATATATATATATATATATATATATATATTTTAGGTATGCATGATAAATCGGCGCCCATATTGTTATCGGCCGATAAATGCTATTTTTATGATTATCGTTATCGATCCAATGTCATAATTAGGCTGATATATTTAAGCCGAAAAATTACGTAATTGTACAGACCTGCCTGCCTTGCGCACGCGTGGGCGGTACTTGTTCAGACTTGTCCAGTGCACTATAATGGATCTCTCCTCACACTGATTATTCCCTCAAAGTCTGTCCTTTCTTCGCGTGGCTTGCTGTGCATTAATAACTCAGTAAGTAACCTTGTTCCTTGTCATTGTAGATATTTTTGATCGAGTATCATTGTGTATTTTGCTTTAAATCGCCTCAGGAAAAATATTAAATGTGGAAACCTTTCCTGCTCTGTCTCTGTGTTAGAGATAGCAGGGGAGATTCACTTATTACTGCAGGGCTGAATAATGTTAGTTTCGGGGTTAACTCTTTTAGTTGCAGCTGGTGAATGAAAGAGGACACATGTAACTTGGTTCAAAATATTTATTACTTTCAGTGTGGTACAACAAGTAAGTCACCAAAGAGGGAAAATCACAGAAAATGGTCTCATTGCTAAAAAAAAACGCTCCTCTTTTCTCTCTCCCTCTCCCTCCACTTAACTCACACCCCAAACTGCAGCCCTGTCCCGTTGAAGGACCCGCACATTTTACAACAAGTGTAAACATAACGATTGTTTGTAATCTTATTATTTGTTATTATAAACGCGTTGCTTGTCATGTGTTGTTGATGTAAGATAGTATTCAGTTTGATCGGAATATTTATATTGACTATAACAAGCTTGCGTGAGAGCTGTCACCGCACACACACACACACACACTGTAGCACGGGGGAGAGGTGAATCCAGTCAAAGGGGCTCTTAACTAGCCGCTCATTCTGTCTTTATATTGTGCTCTGTGTTTGTCATACAGTCAGCTCAATGCACGTTTTGTATCAAAATCTGACTTTGATGGCAACTCTGTCTCTACAGTTGAGTAAAACTCTCAGCGGTTTATCATAAACTTTTAATTGATCATTTTCCCGCGATAAACGGCAAGAACTAGTGCAGAAGCGCTGTCTGATTGACAAGCAGCACCTACATGTGAAAAGTCAAAATGCCAAATAGGATAAATCTGTGCCGCATTTTCTAAACGTACTAAAACGTATTATCTGTATTTAGCTATTTGCTTGTACAGTGGCTCTAAACTGTCAAAACACCTCTAAAAAGACTTTTTCGGACATGACATATTTGTACATGTGTACATCACTGTAACACGTTTTATTCATGACCATTTGAGCTGGTTTCAGTCCTTAGCTCTTTAATTTTTATCCTATTTAAATATATTTAACTTGCTTGTTAATTAAATATCATTTTGTTATTTAAACTATTATTTTTATGCAACAATCAATTTGCTTGTTCATTTGCTATAAAGAAAAGGAAATAATTTTTTGCATACAGATTTATGTGAAATGGTGAATATAGGTCTATAATCACCTTGCAATTTCGAAATCATAGCTTTTTTGCTTTGAGTATAGACTATTCAGTTCATAAGAGCATTTTAATCTTTTATGAAGTTTGCTGTATAAAAATCTAACAATTTAAAATATTTATAATTATCGGCCTATACATATCGGTTATCGGCCTCCAAGTCTAAAGAATTATCGGTATCGGCCAAAAAATTCATATCGGTGCATCCCTAATATATATATATATATATATATATATATATATATTTGCCTGTTAGTTTGATTAGTGTTGATTTCAAGTGCAATAAATATGTTTGTATAAAACTTGTAGTAATGGTGCTTATAATTGATGGGTGCGACTAAATTTTGGCTGATGCGCCTAAATTTTTAAAGTTAGGAGCACCGGTGCTACCAAGCAAAAAGGGTTAATTTCGAGCCCTGTATACTGTTTTACTGGTTTTGTTAGAGTGGCTTTAAGTTGGTTGAAATCCCTTAAAAATGGCTCTTGCTTAAAGTAGTTACATTATAAGAAATTGCAAGCGAATTGCAATAACCAGGGTTTGTTTGATAATTTAGCAAAGTTCAATCATGTTAGTTCTGAAGTTTCTACAAGTTGTACTTGTAAAGTGTAATTGCTGTCTTTTTAAAATTTAGGTCAGAGAGATCTTAAGATCTCAAGAACCAAGTAAACAGTATGTCCTGGAGAATCTTCAGCCTGGTGTTCAGTACTGTGTTAAAGTACTTCCACAAATCAATTCCAACCAGAACACTCAACCTTCTTCTTGGCAATGTGAATACACAAGCAAAGAGGAGGCACAAAGAGGTAAGAAAATACTTTTTTAAATAACAACATAATATGCTCTGTTAATATTCTATTGCTACATAAATATTTGAAAAATTTAACTTTTTTTGTATAAACTGCAACCTTTTGTGTGTTTTAAATTTATATATTAAATAATGTGACTCCTTTAACCAGCACTGACCCATGCTTTGTTTAATAAACTGCATTTTTGGGGATATATAAACCATGAACAGGATATATATACAAAGCAATAATATGTTATTTGTAGAGAGCATTTTTTTTGTGTAAACTCCCAATCACCTGTTAACATCACTTGTTTCAAATCACATCATTATTTAACCAATTTACCTGATTACAAGCCCAAAATTGCTCCTATCGCAACTTTTTTTGGAATGTGTTCAGGTCTGAATGACAGGAAAGGATGTATATTTACAAATGAAATGAAGTTGACCAGAGAAAACATGAAATATCTTGTGTTGATATTGTCTGCAATGAAGTACAAGTCAAAGTAAATTTGGAAATAACTACTTTCTTTTTTTATTTGCATATTCCTTACTGTCACAAATTTTTTTTTCTGATTTGGAGTTGTAATACTATTTGTAATCTGTCAGGTTTTTAAATAATAGTCACATTGTTTGCCTTTACTTGAATTGATTTGCTGAAAATGAAATGCGTATAGTAATAAATAAGCATATACACATGCCTTTGAATCATGGCAATTCCTGCCCAACACTGAAGAAACTAGGAACAGAATGTTATATACATGTATAGGTAGGCTATAATTAGTTTTGAGTGTAAGATCTTTGGAAATTTCTGTTTAAGTTGCAAATAGTGAAATAAATAACAAAATAAAATTAATCTAATTTGCGAACTACCCATGGACATGGTCAAATGCTCTTGTGACATGGACTAGTGCTCTCGTGTCATGGGCACTAAATGCAAATCGACTCTCTATGTCTCTAATTCACCATAACAAAATACATTTTGAGAGTTCATAATAGTAATAATAAAAATAAAAATTGGTTGATAAAAAGGGTGCACAACCAACAGGAACCAGCCAACAGTATTTGAGGTTTTTGCTAAAATTAGCGTGAAAGTGAAAGATTGAAGCAGTGTACTGACGCTGTGACATGTTACATGATAGATACAAAAGACTGAAGAGTCATTAGATAGAGACAAGATGAATTAAATATCACATTTAACAACTAAAATGAGGCGTGATCCAGCGGTACATCCTTGATAAACTGTCTGATGTGCACTGCTCTCTGAGGTTTTGTGCTAAAAAGCACCCACTGACTTCTGGATCTCAGACACTGCAGCACATGACAGAGTGTGTGTGTGTGTGTGTGTGTGTGTGTGTGTGTGTGTGTGTGTGTGTGTGTGTGTGTGTGTGTGTGTGTGTGTGTGTGTGTGTGTGGTCACGTGATGTGCGTTTTCAGCAGTATAGTGTGGATGGAGGGCTTTTTTAGAAATGCTAGGTGAATGCCAGTGTGGATCATTTTTGTTCTAAAATGGCATTTTAAAACTAAGGAGTATTAGTGTAAATAGGGCCGTGTGTATTTTTCGCAAGTAGGTTGCTGCTGTGGTAAGGGCGGGGCAGAGGATCGCGATGCCTAATCAGCATTGATATGTCTATCAACCATCTGTGATGGATGATGGCATCGTCTATCGACCCAACCCGAATGAAGACCATACGAGGGCAGGAGCCTTAACACCAACACAATGCTTTAAGCGAGAAATCAACATCCTATGAACTACTGTGTCAAAAGCAGCTCCAAGATCTAGCAAAAACAGCATTCTTTCTTCAGTCAGTGGCTAAATATTTCTGTGTGGAGTGATCGGTGTGACTCACGGCACAAGCAAGCGCAATATTTAAACTTTTGTGTGCTGTTTGTGTTGCTCTGCAATAACACTTCTGGAATGCTAGCTGGCAGTAAGTTATGTTCCTCTATATCGACTTTCTTCGCTGGTGTTTTACTTTTTTCTAAACGCTACCTTAATGTACCAGTAGCTAAAACTCGGTCATTCAGACACTGGAACCGGCGGATGTACAGCAACTTTAATCATAAGGTAAACACAAAACAAAAATCTGCATCTGCAGCTCCTTTACAGAACTCAACACTTGCAAACACTCGCTCCATCAGGCTCCTGCCCACACTGGTCACAGCTACCAAGCCGACTAATAACAGCGCTTACGCTACGCACAGTTGTATTTTTTGAAAGGTGTGCGTCAGCGTCACCCACGGTAAGGGTTATGCGACCACAACATTATAAAGCTGCAGGCCCGGAGACCCAACCGCAAGCTTAGACCTGCTCACTTAGACGGATCAGACCTGCTCTTCCAGGCCCTCACAGTGCCACCTGCTGTTTAAAAGATCTGCTGTTTAAACTTAAAAGATGGATTTAAAAATTCTGCTGCTTCTAAATTTTAACTTAAACTATTTTTCTAAAATAAAATATTACGCTATGATTGAATACATGCTGCTAAGTTTGCAACGGGGCTGATACAAGGTGAGCCCTGAAGCAGAACGTAGATTGCGAGAGGATGAGGCGGTTGATATCAGGTCACATATATAATCAGGTGCAGATCCATGAACAGCTTTGTAAGTTAAAATCAAGGTTTTAAAATCGATGCGTGACTTTACAGGCAACCAGTGTAACTGCTGAAGAACAGGAGTTATGTGAGAGCGAGATGATGTGCGAGTTAACACACGTGCGGCTGAGTTTTGAACATATTGTAAGATCTTAAGTGAATTGGCTGGCAGACCCCTAAATAAAGAGTTACAAAAATCTAGACGAGACGTAATAAAAGCATGGACAAGCTATTCAGCATCTGGTGTTGAGAGAAAAGGACGGATGCGGGCAATGTTGCGTAAGTGATAAAATGCAGTTTTTGTTAACTGTTTAAAATGAGGTTTGAGGCTAAGCTGAACATCAAAGAGGACACCAAGATTTCGCACCTGCATAGAAGGCAGTATCTTATTAATAATTCATAAACTGTTCATTTGTTACTGTTATTGTCTTTGGTAGCATTTTCAGATAGATACTGCTGTAATACGTACTGTAGACCTACATAGAACTAAAATATCTTTCAAATAATAACTGTGTTATGAATTAAACATTTTATTTTAACATTTTTACTTTAAAGTTTTTTATTTTGCCAGAAAACATTGCTAGAAGAGTGTCCCAGAATGGTACAATAACATTGAAAATAAGAGCAAGCTGTAAATATTATATAAAATAAATACATAAAATAATTCTAACTTTTGGCACTAATTTTGATCAAATCAAACACTGAAATAATTGTTTGTTAGTGTAATATTTTATGCCACACTGATTTATGCCATAAAACCTGGTAATTTTCAGTTATCACTTTATTAATCAATAACCTTAATCGCGTATCTGATGTTGCTACTTGATAGAAAGTGCTGGTCTGAGTGTGCAGTTGGGTCTTCGTACCTGCAGCTTCACCCAACCCAACAGCAGGTGGCACTGTCTGAGAAAACGATAGGTGTGGAAGTGAGTGCCTGAGCGTACGTGCCTGAGCGTACGTGCCTGAGCGTGTGTGCCTGAGCGTGCGTGCCTGAGCGTGCAAGCCTGCAGCTTCATCTTACTCTGCGATCGCGCGAAGGCTGTGCCAGAGCATATGCATATCAACAAACGTTTTACATTTTTTTAGTTTGTCCTAATACAATACTGCTTTGATATTGTTTTGTTGTGAAAACCCATTTCCAAGATTCAATCCAATCCATGGTCCAAAACCCCACTGGATTACTGGCCCAGATCTAAATATTATTGAATCACTTTGGGGTGTTTTCAAAAGCATTTTCCTCCACTAGCATCACATAGTGACTTGGCCACTATTCTGCAAGAAGAATAATGAATTGATGCTGTATTAGCTGCAAAAGGATGCCCTACACCATACTAATGAATTATTTTGGTCTAAAACCAGGCATATCAGTTTCACTGTTCAACCCATGTATATAAATACATTTTTATTTATTTATTTATTTTAACGGAACAACAAAAATCCACTTTCCCAGAGATGGGTTGCGGCTGGAAGGGCATCCGCTGCGTAAAAACTTGCTGAATAAGTTGGCGGTTCATTCCGCTGTGGCGACCCCGGATGCATAAAGGGACTAAGCCGACAAGAAAATAAATGAATGAATGAAGAAAAATCCACAAATTCAGAAAGACTTTTTAAAAGACAGTTTCAAGCTGATTAAACTTTCCCACATTTTTTTGTATTATTACTTGGTGGCAAATCTTCGAAAATTCTGTTGTTTGTAAAGTTTTCAAAATGCTTGTACTACTTGCAACAGTTTTATTTTCTAACTTACTAACAATAAAACATTTTCCTCTTTCTTAGCACATAATCAACTCAATTGTAACTTCAACACTAACATTTTGTTCTAAATTTCCACAAATATACCACCTTAAAGGGTCATAAAACCCTGGGCTAAAATTGAGATTTCAACCGATCTCTGTGTGTTCTTCGATTAAGACAATAATGGCATCTGTTGGCATTAATAGTTGAGAATATCTGGGCCAGGTAGTTGATAGAAGTTATCTTAGAATTTACAGACTTTTACAAAAGTGGCATAAAATGAGAATAAATATAATTGTCAGATCAGTGGATACTCTTGATGTAACAAATGGATACAGATCAGACACAATAAATTGTTATGTCTAGCAAACAATTGCTAAATATCCCCTTTGATTTTTTATCTCCATCAAACTAGCCACACTATGGCCCTGTTGACTAATGGGATTGGAAATGTTATATCTGACGGGGAAGTTTATTTTACCTCTCAAATAGCTTTTGCTATTTATTGTAATAGTGGAAATCTAAAAATGATCACACAAAGGACTTAATACACACCTGTAAACAAATGGAAATGTGTCTTTCTGCCTGGACATTGTCTATTAATTTGATGATGCTGATTTCCATTAACTCTACAACACAGCAAAGTGTTGAGAAGTATTAAAAACACAATTAATATTATAGAGTCACCTGTTGCGTCTTCTATACCGTAAATATTCCAGTCACACGTTGTCCTGTTTGATAACTTATCACTGAGTTAGTGTACTTAAGGGTGTTGAGCAACACATGAAAATTGACATATATTGAAGATATTATAATGATTTGTTTTCATTGCAGACTTCTGTTAAAATGTCTAATTGTAAGGTATAATTTTTAGGATTATTATGTGTATTTCTCTCTCTCTCCAGTGTTATATTTTATGAGCTGGTTACTAGGAGCGACGTTGTCAGGTTCATGTGTGATGATGTTGGCATGGATTCTGGTTTACACAGGATTTCTATGCAAGCCCAAGAACCCTCCTCTCAAATCACTGGTAAGACCCTGTCTACATTTAATTGCAGAAAACATATTTAATTTTGTCATACATTTTAATTTTCATGATTAATTAATACAATTAAACAACATTTAACGTAATGATTTAAAAAATAATATAACTTTTCAGTGGTGTTTATACACTGATGAGCATCAAACATGCTCTGGAAGAGGAAAGGTTTACTCATCTCATTAGTGATTAGCTGCCTTTTTGTTTTAGCAGATTTAGAATGTATTTATTGTATTTTAATGTAATCAAATAGTAGGTATTCATTCTGTCCCGTTAAATGTGACATGTTTAGGGTTTTGGATATCTTCCTGTTGTAATAATAATAATAGCAGTAATAAATAATAGCGCCCATGACGTGGTGGCGCAGTAGGTAGTGCTGTTGCCTTCCAGCAAAAAGGTTGCTGGTTCAAGCCCCGGTGTCCTGGCCATAGTCCCTCAATCGGCACTCATGACCTCCCAATCATCCCCATCCACTGAATTGGCTCTATCACTGTCTCTCCCCTTCTCCTATAGTTGGTGTGTGGTTTCAAATGGAAACAGCCCCAAAGAGCAGATGATTGTGAACAGATGCAGTGATGATCAGTTAATTATTCCAGGAAAGTTTTATTAGGTGTGAGGTGCAAAGGTTGTTGATAATTGTAGTCTAGTGGTAGAGGTGATGTGTGGAGTGCCCTCTAGTATGTCTTATGGGCACTCCAGTTGGTGACTGTGGAAGTTAAGGGTTTTATTGCAACATTTAAGGAAATTTAAAATGCTCAATTGTGTTTCACTTATAAAATCCCTTAAATAAAATTAATAGGTTATTTTATACAACACTCTTTCAGTTTTTCTTTTTTTGTGTGTACTCTACATTCCACTGAGATTGCAAAACTAGTGAAATGGGCATCTCAGATTCTTTTCACCTGATCCAGGCAAACTCAGCCTTTGCCTTTCACCCCCTCCAAAGCCCCAGCTAGCCTGATTTGGCCCACATTGCATGGCAAAAAAGCACTAACAACTGAATGCGGTCTAAGGGCCTACTCACACTATGCTATCCATTCCGTGTCCAGGCCAGTTTCCCGGATCGTTTGAGGAGTGTGAGTACGCTGAATCGGCCTCGGGCACGGTTCACTTGGCCGGCTCTGGCTCGGTTGGAAGAGGTGTGCCTGGTTCACTTGGGCTTTGGCACGGTACGCTTGTGTGTGAGTGCAAAATGGGCCTAAACCCGAAGCTGAAAGCGAGACATGAATTTAAAGGGAATGTTTCATATGGATTTATTAATCATTCTTACTGTTTAGTGAACGCAAACTGTCGTAGGTTATTAAAGATGCAAACCCATCTCTTGGCACGAAAGCTGCGCACCTTCCCCAAACCTCCTAATTCCTGCAGCACAAAGACTTTATGATGAGCATCAAAAGCATCTGATCTCTTCGGCGAAATATTTGACTGCGTGTCACAGCATGTCAAACAACATAACTAAAGAAATCTCCACTGTGCTGAGCAAGAGTGCTTCTGACCAGCGCATCATCGATGACGTTATCGTGCCCAGGCCCGAATGTAATGTGAGTGTGGGCCGTCGGGGGGGAGACGGGAGGGGGGACAAGCGTGCTTTGGCCTGGTTCAAGGCAACTGTATTGTGTGAGTACGCCCTAAGAAGTTACTGTGGAAGTTCGACCAGACCAGGCATGCACTGACCGACTCTATGTAGGCACAACAGTGGAAATGTGTAAACTGTCACAATGACATTGCGAACAAAAGCAGTCCCTGTTAAAATACCTTTAGCAGTTTTTGGGGTCTTGGAAGCCCTGGTATTTGTGCTTTTCAATTATTTATATTATCAGTGGCTAAAGTATACATATACGAAAATAAACTCAGATCTACTCAAGTGTCTCTTAAGTGTTTGACAACTGAGATGGAGCAAGAGTCATTAGTTTGTCTCATCCTGTCATATGATATTTGTCTAACCCTCTGTTTTGTTTTGTCTTGTTTTTCTTCATCATTTAGAGTAACATTGTTCCAGCCACCTATCTGATTCCTGAACAGACGTTGTCTGAGAGTCTGTCATTAACTGAGGTTCAGTTAATTCATTTGTCCTATGATACTACCGAAAACAACAGTCAACTGAAAAATCCTGAAAAAAGGGAATATGAAGGCAGTGTCCTCAAGGTTTGTTTAACGGCTGTATTTAAAAATAAAATCTATATAATAGTTAACAATACAACATGACAACAGAATTTCTCTTCAGTTGTTCCTTACCAGTTTTGTGGTTAACAACAAATTAGGAAGTCATTTAGATCACCAATCACTCTTATATGTATAAAAAGGGGTCAACAAAATGCCTAAAAAAAATTGGTGAGTACAGTTCCACTGGTGCAACCACTCTAATTAATGAAAAAGTGGTTGTTCCTTGTGCCACCTAGTGCATATTGCGTGAAGCACAAAAGTAAAAAAAGTTTATTTATTTTTATTGTTTTACTGAAAAGGCGGCCTGAAAAATTACAGAATGCTACATGTTATGTAATGTAATATAATGTGTGTTTATATAGAGCATTTATCGTGTATGGCCATACACCCAAAGCGCTTCACAATCATGAGAGGTGTCTCTCCACACCACCATCAGTGTGCAGCATCTACTTGAATGATGCGACGGCAGCTACAGGGCAATGGCATTAATGCTCGCGTTTTTTCCCGTACAGTTTAACGTACAGTTGTTATAACACACTGATATAGTTTGAATAATATGCCCTGATAACAAACTGCAGAATAAACGGCTAAATGCAAAAGAATATGATCCCTGCCAGTTCTCCTGATCTCTCAGAGTAGCATGTGCAATTTCGGTTGAAACAGTTTGTCAGAAAAACTACTGCCTGTGCTCCATCTTTTATTAATACTGATACATGAGACATGTTTCATTTGCACTATGGCTAAAATAAAATAAACAGAAGTCTTTCTTTATATCTGTTAATAAAAATTATTTTAACATTGTTAGTCTGTAGCCAGCTTATTGAAAGGGGTGGTTATTTTTTTTCTGAAAAACTAAACTTTTTCCAGTTATTCACCTGATTTTTATTTAATTATGAGGTATAAATATAACATTTTATTGATATTTTAAGAACAATTTTTTACTGGATTGTATTTTCAAACGGTTATCATAACCACACATTTTAAAGTACCAAAAATATTTCCAACCATTTTGTCAAATAGCACATCACACTATTTTACTATTTTAAGTGTTTATTTACAAATGTGCATTTAAACTGTAAGTTTTATATTACAGTTTTATAAACGTAATGAAAATTTATAATAAACAAATGTGAAAAATACTTATAAAAAAATTATCATTTTTTATTACACACACACACACACATATATATATATATATATATATATATATATATATATATATATATATATATATATATATATATTATATGTATAAGTTTTAATTAAATAAATTGTATGAAGAGAGCATTAATTAATAATATATGTTAATAGCAGCTACATAATTAATGTATAAATAAATAATAACGAAATCAATAAATAATATACATGTTTATACATGTATATGCAATATTCATTCTTCGGAGATGACGGTTGTTTGATTCACTCGTTCCCAAAAGTGTCAAGTGTAAACCTACACCCTTGCTAAAATGTCAACTAAAGGACTGCCAGTGACACTCAATCTAGTAGCAGGCCACAGCAAAGTACAATTTTAGAGTACTAAGGAAACCAAAACCAAACAAAATTATATATTTTAACCCAGTTAAACATAGTACCTGTGCACAAGGTACACATACAGTACCGGTCTATCTAGTATTGTGAAAAGGCAAAGCTGAAAATTGTGTGTTGATATTTTAGCCCATGTTTATATTTATATGTAAGTTTATGCTTAAAGCGCCTCCCAGCGGTCAAAAGCTGCAAGCGCGTTTACTGCCTCAAATGCGTGGTGGCAGTAGGAACATATTGAAGTGTTAACATCTGTACATATCAACATATTGTACATATATTGTCAATATATTGTACATATTGGTTGTAGATGTTGTTAATCCATTCAACATTTTTCATTTTTGCAGTTCTCCGCAATAGCATAGACTCGACTCCTGCTTTTAGTTTATCTCTTGCAATAATCTCATCTGGTATTTCTCTCGGTTTGCCTATTGCATTTATGCAAAATTGGATATTCTGTCTAGTGCAATCCCCAAGTATACAGTTAGCTGCCCCACCACTCTTTTTAATAATTGCAAATACTGAAACTGGATCCATTCCATCCTTGTTTTTTTACATAATTGTTTTTTGCTTTGTTTTGTTTTTTCCTCACAGTCAGACACTGAGGATGAGGAAGACAGTAATGATGAAGACGAAGTCAAATGTGTCTACATGAGTTGTGAAATTGACGACATTAGTTGTCAAAATAATAGTACAAAGAAGGATATAGTTTCAGCTTTGCCATTTAATAAAAGTTCAATTGTCTGCTACACAAAGGAACCAGCCATGGAAAAGATCCAATATGATGATCTGAAGAGTGAAAAGGAATTATTATCAGAGCTTTTCGAAGAGGGACATGGACATCTTGAAGTGACAAATACTCAGTTAAAAACTGAGGGAAATGAGAAGGGTTCAACAAATACCCCAGGGAACATCAACCTATTTTCAGTCACTGTGAGGACTTTTGGAGCAGAAGATGACTTGGATAAGGAAGATGTGTATAAACCTCTGCTACCCAAATTGTTTGTAAAAACAGACAAATGGACAGAAGAGCTCTTACCTGTATCTAACAAGATACAGATATCTATACCCATAGAGACAGGCATGAAAACAGATGATCTGATTCATTTGGACAGCCAAAATGATCTTGTTCACGTTTGCTCTTTGGCTCATAACGTAGAAACCAACCCTGATACAACAATGTCTGCATATATGATGAACCATATAGGAAAAATGCATGATCAAAATAAGGACTTATTAGAGGAGACAAATTGCGACACAAGCTATATAACACGGTAAATACAACAATATTTATTTAAAGACTTGAAACAAGTTTAAAATTTAGGCCAACTAGAAGTTGCCAGTGGCTTTGTTATAATTAAGATCATAAGAACTTTGTTTTTTTTGTAATAACTTTGATTATTGTTATAAAGTTTGTTTAGTGCCACAATCACAGAATGATCAAAAATAAATGAAGAGGCAAAGACATTGCTCACTAATGGCACATTAAAATACAAAAAAAAATGGTAGAGCATACAATTTCATTTTAAGAGTAAATGTATTGTACACTGTAAAACCCAACAGTCAACTTTCTCAAATGAGTTTCGTTAACTTAAAATTTACTGAAAGTTAATTCTACTCATTTGAAAAGTTTTGAACTTAGTTTTGAAAGTAATGAGTGAAATACAGTACCTCACTTCTTCAACTCAAATGAATTAAGTTTTTTAGTAAAGATTAGTTTTTTTTAACTCGAATAGTTTGAGTTGCCTAAACTTATTGGGTTTTACAGTACTCAGCTGGTTTGAGTTCTCTTCATTTATCGGGTTTTACTGTGCTCAAATTGCTTTGTTTACTCACATGGATTAAGTTCACAGCACTCATTAGGATTAGTTTTTGAAGTTAAATTGTTTGTTGCAATCGGTTTCCTCAAATGATTTGAGATACCTTAATTTTTGGGGGTTTTCAGTGTAGGTTTTTGTTGACCAATGTGTAAAATAATTAGAATTTTAAGATGAGAGATGCTGAAACTGGTAACACTGGCACTGCAAAGAATTTAGGGGACTGTGTTTTCTGCGAACTCAGAAGCTAAATCGTGGAGAGACTGTCCACCTTTGATGAGAAGCAGGTGGATGAGTCAGTCTATGAGACAGCTCAACAGCTCAAAGAGCAGTGAGTGCACCTGCTGCCATTAGTGAATATCTGCCATGTAAGTAGAATGCTTAATTAAGCATAGCATCAAATGGGAAAATACTAATATATTGTACAAGATTGTCGAAGATTAATCTTACTTATCGTTCAAACAAATGGCCTGTTTTGCTAAACTTACATTAAGATGCTGTGTGACTCTTTTTGTAATGTTCTTTAACTCAGGGGTTCTCAACCTTTTTTACTGCGAGGTCCACTTTTTCTCCAGCCAATTTTTGAAGGCCCACCTGTCTGCCATTTTCTATAAAATGTTTGTGTGAAATGCTCATTTAAACTTTTATTTATTAACAAATAATATATATATACACGCACACTGATTCAAAGAGAACTACCGGTCAAAAGGGTGATTGCAAAAGACGAGTTTCTGTTTTATACACAGACAAATGTAAAATAGAGAGAAAAAAAACACCCTAAATCTGTTGAAACACATCAATCAGATGGCAGTTGAGTTTGCTGCTGGATATTATTGTGAGATTGTTGACAGGAACAGTGAACAGCTCCACTGAAGCTCATATGCAAGTTTATTTTACGTTCTATAGCAGAATTGAACCTCGCTAGATTGTCCTGTATAAACGCGTGTTAATTCTCATGGCCCACCTGTAGGATGTTAAATCAAAAATGCAAAGGGCACAAACAAATGGACAACAACACAGGTAATGTAAAATAAAAATCCACAATAATATCAAGAAATCAGTGTAATGGTTACTGTACTTTATTTATTTTTTTTACATATAATTGTTTAAAAAAATGGTAATATGGATGTTGCCAACATTCATATGATGACCTCAGGTAAACATATTAAAGTGTCAAATCAGTGATGACCTGAGGTCAACATATTATCAAGAAACAAATCAGTGATGCTATCAGTTCAACATAATAACATTTATCAATAAATACATTTATAAAAATCAAAAAAATAAATAATAAATGAAACAAATCAGTAATGACAATAAATCAGTTCAACATATTAACATTTAATATTATTAATAAATTAGCGATAATGACCTGAGGTCAACATATTAATGATGTTAATGAAAAAGATACCTGAATAAACAAACGTATTAATGCATTAATGAATCAGCGATGATAACAACATATTAATAATATTAATAAATCAGCGAAGATGACCTGAGGTCAACATAATATTAATATTAATAAATCAGTGATGATGACCTGAGGTCAACATATTACTAATAATAATAAAACAGCGATGATGACCTGGCTGAGGTCAACTTGATGTTAATAAATCAGCCATGATGATGAGGTCAACATATTAATAATTTTAATATATCAGCGATGATGACCTGAGGTCAACATAGTAATGATATTAATAAATCAAAGATGATGACCTGATGTCAACATAATGCTCTAATAAATCAGCGATGATGACCTAAAGGTAAATATAATAATGATATTAATAAATCAGCAATGATGACCTGAGGTCAACATATTCATGCATTAATAAATCAATGATGATGACCTGAGGTCAACATATTAATGATATTGATAAATCAGCAATGATGACCTAAGGTCAACAAATTTATGCATTAATAAATCAGCGATGATGATCTTAGGTCAACCTAATAATGATATTAATAACTCAGCGATTATTACCTGAGGTCAACATGTTAATGATATTAATAAATCAGCGATGATGACCTGAGGTCAACATATTAATGCTTTAATAAATCACTAATGATGACCTGAGGTCAACATATTAATGATGATAATAAATCAGTGTTGATGACCTGACCTCAAGTATTGATATATTGATACTCAGAAGCTTCTTATTTGGTTTCGATGTTTTTGTTTTTTTTTAAGTATCGATATTTCAACTATATTTTAATAATTTCTGCATAACTAAATGTTTAAGCAATGTGACGCTTTTTATACAAGACGTTACACCAATCAATCTGCAAAGAACGTCACGTGAGCAATCATGTGCCTTTCAGTACTTACGTACTACACACACGCCAGTCACACACTTTTGCATAATGGAATGACATGATGGCTGAGAGATAACACAGCATGCAAAACTGTTGCACGAGCAATATTTGTGATAAGAAAGTCATACACAGCAACAATACAAGCAGCCTTTATAAACACTTACAGACTACACACCCTAACTTATAAGCGGAACAAAAATAAGCTGCCCTGTGTTCCTCTGCTCAGTCTCCCTCTGTCTGACAAAAGACATTATAGGAGAGTTTTAAAGGAGGCAAACCTCTCTCTCTCTCTCTCTCTCTCTCTCTCTCTCTCTCTCTCTCTCTCTTTCTCTCTTTCTCTCATAGTAAACACAGCATGTGATAGTATTATAATAATAAATAGTAATTGTCAAGTTGTCAAGTAATAATAAATAAGCTCTCTCTTTCTCATTATCAATAGGTGAATAAGAGTAAATATAAGTGTGTATGTATCTGTGCAGTGTGCATGTGCAATATAGTCGTGCGTGCGTGTATGTATATTTATATGTAATATATATTTTTTTTTAATTAGCATTATTTAGAAAAAGTACATTAACATTTTAAATAGTAAGTGATATCGTTATCGGTATCGTAACAATTTTTACAAAATGTATTAGTATCGTATTAAATTTTTAAAAAATGTGGTATCGCCCTTCCCTACTATTAAAAAAAAATCAATTTGTTATCTTGTTTTAATTTGAGCCAGAAAGGACATAAGAGCACATTAATCTAACATTAGACTTGTATGGAGGCTAATCAGGCTAACTTGTCGAAGCAAACAAAAGTTAAATGTTTGCTAATCTAGAAAAAAAGAGCAAATCCATAAACAAACATTAATTTTGTTAATATTCTGTAACTTAAATTAATAGGGGAAAAAAACTTGTAGTCTTACCTTTTTCACTTGTCTTGTTCACTGGTAAAAATGCAGGTGTGTGTGTGTTTTTTTTTTTTTTTTTTTTTTTGCGGGCTATGCAGGGTGCACAAAATGATGACGTCATGTCATTTGATTGGCTAATGAAGTTGTTGTCCCTGGGTCATCATAAAAAATGTGGGTCTCAGGGCAACTAGCACTTGGCAAAATCACGACGTGCCTCGTGCCCACCGGTCAACTGCCACTCACACTGCAAACTTCTGTACAGGCTTCCTTCTTGATCCGGTATTTTCTGCAACTTGGGAAAGTGCATTCAAGAACCATGAAAGCCATATAGCTCTATAGCTCAGGGGGTATATTAGTGTTTTAAAAATGCTTTTTGCAAGCTCATTATTTGTTAAATTTAATGTTTAATTACTAATACCTCTATCAGTGCATACAAATTAAAATGTAGAATTTCTGTATTCATTTTAGCATTTCTTTTACTCTACATCTCAGTGTTTGTGATTTCCAACTGAATACACTTATCGATTGTTATGGAACCGGCAGATAGCAGCTCTTAGCTGACATCAAATGAGAGAGAGAGTGTTTTGAGCAATCCAGAACTGTAAATGCATGTTTACTAATTGTAAACATACATTAAACACAACATTACCTTCAATAACATAATTTCATTGTAATCGCTTTTTACTCAAGCCCATCCTAAAACATAAAACAGAGTTGACATACAAAAGGAGCCATCAGTTGTTGTTTTTTTTTAATGTTAAATTAATAACAATGTGAAAAGCAAAACTTATTAAAAAAACTAAAAATATTGTACTAAATAATAATACATTTTTAATATAGAGTATATGCTGATGTCACTTCCAGGAAGGAAAAAGTTGTGTCATGAAGATGGAAGCAAGTCAGTTTTTTTGACCGTATAGTATAGTTCAGTTAAGTTGTTATTGAACATTTTCGAAAATGACATCACTGGACTGTCTTATCTTACTCGCGTTCAAGTCCCGCTTATTCAAAGAAAGAAACGAGACAAGAAGAGACTGATTGATGGCACATACACATACATTTTCAAAGTTAGTGCTTTTACAGTCAACAATAGTTCTTAGATCTTTCAGGGGTTAACTGCATCCATTAAATTAATATTTGAAACCCCCATTTATGTTACTTTTTTATTATTAAAAATATATACAGAGGGGATCGAAAGTTTGGACACCCCAGGTAAAAATTTGTATTAATGAGCATAAAGAAGCCAAGGAAAGATAGAAAAATCTCCAGAATGCATCAAATTACAGATTAGAAATTCTTTTAATTTGTCAAAAAAGTTAGATTGTATTTCCATCATTTACACTTTCAAAATAACAGAAAACAAACAAAAAAAACGGTGTCTGCAAAAGTTTGGGCACCCTGCAGAGTTTATAGCATGCAATTCCCCCTTTGAAAAGCT